TCTCCTAAGCCTCAGCCCTAATTGCCAAACTCCTATTTGATTAGGGCCAACCACCAAATCTTCCTGGCTGGTACTGGCAGCGTCATCTTTCTAGCTGCTCTGCTGGCAACCTTCGGGACCTTTTTGACTGTTTTCTCTCAGGCCACATCCAGGTTATCACTAAAACTTCATGGCTCAAATTAGATTTATTCAGAATCCAGCCACTTTAACGGCTGTCATCACGACTCTAAGCCACCACTGTCTTTTGCCTGGATGATTGTTAGTTATCCTCTACTGGGTTTTCTATGTCTCCTCTTATTTTCCTGCAATGTAGTATATTTTTAATACATCAGCCAGTGAGTTTGTTTTTTTTTTATATAGTGATAGGAGGCATGGGGGAAGGGCAGAGGGAGAGAATCTTAAGCAGGCTCCCTGCCCAGCATGAAGCCCAATGTGGGGCTTGATCTCACAACCCTGAGATCATGACCTGAGCCAAAACCAGGAGTCTGTCACCTAACAGATTGAGCCCCCCCCAAGCATCCACAATGAGATTTTTGTTTTAAATGAGATTCTTATTCCTGCTTACAGTTCTCCTGTGGCTTCCCATCTCAGATAAAAGCTCAGGTACTTTGAATGGCTTACAATGGCCTATAATCTGCCCTCCTGTCCTTACTGTCTCACTGACTTCCTCTCTCATTCATTCTGTAAATCATCTCAGTGTGTTCCTGTTTATCAACCTTGCCAAACATGTTCCTTTCTCAGGGCTTTTGCATTTGCTGTTCCTTCTGTCCAGAAGGTTCTTCCTTTGAATCTCCATTAAGACTTCCAGATTTATTTCCTTACCACCTTCAGGTCTCTCTGCTCAAATTCCATCTTTTAGTGAGACCTCCTTGAGCATCCCGTGTAAATCAACAACTCCCCAGTCGCCAGCATTCCCTATTTCCTCTTCTTTTATTTTTCTCCATGGTACTTTTCACCATGTGACCATCGTCTTAAAGCTTATACTACAGTATAAGCTCCCTGAGGACAGAGATTTTAGTCTATTCAGTGATCCACCTGCAGTGGGCCAGAATGTGTCTGGTATCTAGTGTCTGTGTGTGTGTTTGGGAGAGTGAGGCAAGAAATTATGGTGGCGACCTATGATGGACCAAGTAAATGGCTTAGTCAGGAATTAAAGTTCCATATTTTAAGTCTTATTTTTTTACAGTGTTTTTCTGATTACTGTTACCTATCCTGTTTTAACCCTTATTATACCCTAGCCCATCCACATGGGCTCTCAGTTTTTCTCTCATTAGTTCATGTGTATTAACCTTTCCCCAAATTCTTGAGAGAAAAGATCAACACGTATCTTACTGGTTTGAAGTGCCCTTCCTGAAACTTACCACCGGCCAATTGTCTCTAAGGACTGTGTGATTAGACTAGATTACGAAGATTAGAGTTTTGCTCCAGACCACACCCGAAAGAGGAAAAGGTAGAGGTGGTTAAATTGCAGCGCGTACTATGAGGACAGAACCTGAACCTGACACACAGGGGGCCCTTGAGTGTGCAGAAGAGTGGACTGGCAGAGACGTCTTTCAGATCATCTGGCTCTCTCCATTCAGGCTCACTATGCAACAGGTTGATTCATTAATCAGCTTCCTAGGTACTTTAGTATTAGAAGGCATGTGCTGGGTCGCTTTGTTATTGCATAAATTGATGTTCACATTTGCATCAGTCCACCTTAGGGACCACTCCTGAGTTTCCTATAAGATCTAAGGAGCAGAGACAGGACTATAATAAATACTTCCTAACAATACCCCTCCACCTAGTCTCTTATTTGAAATTTAGCGTAATGACCTCTTTCTCAGGCAAATGAAATAACAGTGAAATAACAGCAAAAGGTCTATGCTAGTAAAACATTTTTAAAGGTTATTTTCAGGTATTTCATACCCAAGTACAATTGACTGTTGAACAACACAAGGAAGGTGGGGGAACCAAACCCCTGCATGATCAAAAATTTGCGTGTAATTTGATTCCTCCAAAACTGTACTAATATTCTGTTGACCAGAAGCCTTGCTGAACATAAGCAGTTGACTAGCACATATTTTGCTTTGTTTTAAGATTTTATGTATTTATTCATGAGAGACAGAGAGAGAGAGGCAGGGACACAGGCAGAGGGAGAAGCAGGCTCCATGCAGGGAGCCCCATGTGGGACGCGATCCGGGTCCCCAGGATCATGCCCTGGGCTGAAGGCGGCACTAAACTACCGAGCCCCCCGGGCTGCTCTAGCACATATTTTGTATGTTGTGTTATATACTGTATTCTTGAGAAAAGAAAGTGCTCTTTAAGAAAATCATATGGAAGAGGAAATACACTTAGAGTACTGTACTATAAAGAAATCCACATATAATTGGATCACATCTTCAAACTTGTGTTGTTCAGAATCACCTGTACTGTTAACACATGAAAGTGTCTATTCTGGGTCTCAAATAGAGGAACAAAAGTCGTCATTAACAGTACATGCAAGTTTTCTTAATATAAATATGTATCTGTAGTACAAATAACATGTTATTTTGAAGTCGCCACCTGTTCTAACCTGGATGCGTTTTCCCAAAAAATCTTGAGGAAATTAGGATCCTTTAGAAAGCCCTGATTTGAAAGGTCTATAAGCAGGTCTAGAGAGTTGTGCACAGCTAAACCATGATAGAACTGGATGGTAATTGGTCTGTGGATGCCTTTCCCTTTCAAGGCCTTACTACTTAGCCATGCTACAGTTCATCTTTTTTTTGCAAAGCTTTGTCTTTTGAGGGTAGATTTAATTTTTGAAAACCACCAGAAGACTGAGAGGCCAAATAAGATAGATGATCAAACTTTAAATAATCTGCTGGTGGTCCAAAATGAGTTGCCTTTACCAAGAGTATTTTCCTTGAGTGTTGTAGTTAATAGTTTTGAAAATGCATTTATAGGCTAAACCCCCAAAAATACAATAGAGAATGATGGAATCAGAATATTCACTTGCTTCGTTTCACATCTACACAACAATGTCACAGTAACAATCAAATCCTGCCACTAATTATGATTACTGTAAATGCTTTACAATTTAAGTTTTTCAATTTTTTTTTTTGTTTTTAGTAACCTCTACACTCACGTGGGGCTTGAACTCACAACCCTGAGATGAAGAACTGTATGCTCTTGCAACTAAATCAGGCACCCCCGGTTTAAATTTTTTTTAATAAAATTTACAAAATTGTATATATTTTCCTTATTCTGGTCCCTGCCCTTCCCCCTTTTAGTTGTATAAGTTATCACAAGTTCGTTGGGGGATTAGACAGCCGTTATATATTGTACTCTTAACCTCATTTAGACTTGATTTTCTGACTAGCTGTAGGTTTATTTTTAATAAAGATTTTATTTATTTACTCATGAGAGACAGAGAGAGCGAGAGAGAGAGAGAGAGAGAGAGAGATCCAGGCAGAGGGAGAAGCAGGCTCCCTGCAGGGACTCGATTCCAGGACCCCGGGGTCACGCCTTGAGCCAAAGGCAGACGCTCAACCACTGAGCCACCCACAGGTCCCAGAGTCTTGCTTTTTAAAAAAAAATTTATTTGACAGAGATGGGGGGGGGGAGAGCACAAGCAAGGGGAGAGATCCTATTCCATACTGTGTGTATGTGAGAGTCTGTGTGTTTAACAACCCTTTAAAACCATTCTTAGCTAGAGGACTGTACAAAAATACGCCTGGCTACACTTTGTCAGCCCTGCTCTATAGTTTCCTCAAGAAAGGCTCATGGAGTCAACTTTCCATGCTGGATATAAATTCTCTGCCCACATATGGAGGAGCTTTATATATAAAGTTTGAGTTATAAATTTAAAATATGTCACTTCGTTTTCTCTTGGCATAAAACATTGCAGTTGCAGTCTGATGATACTCTTATTTTCCTTATAAGTTACTTAATGTTTCTGCCTGTATGCCCAAGGGATTTTTTTTTCTCTTTACAGTCCATTTGGTGTTGGTCATTCTGGGTTGATATTCTCAGGTATGTGTTGTGTTTTTCAATACGTAGTTACAAGTATTTTTTTTTCCAGTTTTTTTTTTCTTTTTTTCTTTTTTCTTTTTTTTTTTTTTTAGATAAAAGACCTTTGTGTCTGTCTTTTTTAACCTTACATAATTTTTTTCTTTTAAACCATTTTATTAAAAAAATTAAAAAATAAACCATTTTTTTTCCAGCTAATTGAAATTAGTACAGATAAAAATAGTATATTTAAGATGTACTACATGATGTTTTGGTATACATATGCATTGTGAAATGATTACCTCAACTGAGCTAATTAACACATTTTCAACTTCACAGTTACCGTGTCTGTGTGTGTGTGTGTGTGCGTGTGTGTGTTTGAAATCACTTAAGATCTACTCTCTTAAAAGATTTCAAGGATACAGTACAGTGTTAACTACAGTTACATGCTGAAATTATATCTCCAGAAATTAATTCAACCCTGCATGATTGAAATTTTGTATTCTAAAAACTTTTTGATTTATAGTTTTTAAGTATTCGTTTCATTTCCTTGCATTGGTTTTCCTGCTACAAGAATTCATATTACCCATATACTGGATCTTTGCTTAAATTAAGCACATAATATTTGCCACTATCTCATTTTCTTATTACTTAATTCTCTTTTGTTGCTAATTTCTGAGTTTTCTAATTGACTTAGACTATCCTGTCATTTTCTTAGTGACTCTCAGGTCATTTGTATTAAGATATAGTTTTTATTTGCTTTCTGGGCATGTATATCTGGTATGCTTTCATTGGCTGAAATGGATGTTGCTCTTTATGTGAAGGTTTTTCTAACTTTAGAAGGAAGTGTGGTTCAGAATAGTTTATATTTATAAATTTATTTTTTATTTATGTTCAATTTGCCAACATATAGAATAACACTCAGTGCTCATCCCATCAAGTGCCCCCCCCCTCAGTGCCCGTCACCCAGTCACCCCCACCCCCACCCCCGCCCACCCCTCCTCCCCCCACCCCTAGCTTGTTTTCCAGAGTCAGGAGTCTCTCATGTTCTGTCTCCCTTTCTGATATTTCCCACTCATTTTTTTCTCCTTTCCCCTTTATTCCCTTTCACTATTTTTTATATTCCCCAAATGAATGAGAACATATAATGTTTGTCCTTCTCCAGTTGACTTATTCACTCAGCATAATACCCTCCAGTTCCATCCATGTCGAAGGTTCAGGATGGTTTAATCTGGCTTCACATAACTCGTCAAACCTTGGAATCCTGTTGGACTGTCTTTTTCATGTTCAATTTTGCATACTTTTTATCACAATAACGACCCCACAACTCCGCTTGACAAAGATTCGTCAAAAAGAGTGGAGCAAACCTGTTAACTGAACTACCACAATAGGCTGATAGTGTGCTTCGAGCCTGACGTATGTCAAACATTGCCATATGTTTCAGATGTAACCTGCCCCGTGGTGCCCCTGTGACATTTTGGTGTACAGTTTGGGTGGTGCTACTGTTCTGTAGACTACACTTGAGAAACCAACCAGTAAGACCATTAACTTCTTTTTTCTTAAAAACTAGAAGTACAGAAGAAAGATTTTCAAAGTTGTACTACCACTTGAGAAGAAAATTTCTTCCTCTGGACCCATGCACTCAGATAGGCAAGCAGATTGATTAAAAATAATTTAATATGCTCAAATCAAACAGACTGGAAACAATTGTGTGCATGCATTTGCGCATGTATGTGTGTGAGAGAACAAACAGGCTTGCTTGAGGCTGCACGTACACTTAAATGGTGTAATGCGTTTCTTTGCCTTAATCTAGTATTCTTACTGGGGAAAAAGACGACGTCTACATTGAGTTGATGAAAAGAAACAACAGAGAGCATGCGTGCATGCTCATTGACCTTGATATTTAAGAACATTTGGTGGTAAAGATTTGAATTTGCTTTTGTGACCTCTATCAGTGAACATGATTGACTGCTGGCTTCAGATTCTGTCAACAGCCTGCCAGATTATGTATTTTACGAGAAAACTGTGTTTCTCTCAAGAGAGGCAAGGATATGGATGTGGTACGGAAATCCAGATTCCTCCCTACCACGGTTTGTCATATACAGAATCTTGGAGGTTATTCCAAGTAAAAACTTGACCCTAAGTTATACTGTAATGAGGAGCCCGAAAGAGCGGTCACTTGCTTCCAGGTGCAGCTTCCCTCGAGCTAAATAGTGGGAGATCGTGCTCTCCTCTCCTCGGTGAATTATAATCTATCAGGATAAAGAGTGAAGCACTAGGAAATGCACTGAGCTCGGTGTGATCCTGCTCCTCTCTATATCATTTCTCTTTCCAGGATCCCAGGAAATGTGGGCAACCTTCTCTTACCCCCTTCTACCTCCAACCCTTTTTCTGGATTCTTAAAACATCTGGCAATTGATATTATAGACTCTATTGCTCAGTGATGTTCAGAGTCCTGCAGAAAGCCAGAGCTCTGATGGATAATTAACATTTAAGAAAAAATGGATATGGATTTAACCCAGCTTTCACTTTCCATAACAGAGGGATCTGTATAGATGAGGTGGCCAGAGCAGCAGCCTGCTATCACCTGATCTTTTCTCCAGGATTATCATGGGTTTTCTAACATCTGGCTTTTTACAAACTGGCCTTCAAGTTTTTATTAAAACATGTAGAAAGACGAATGTGGATTTTTGTCAAGCTATGCTTTCATAATAAGACTGGGTCTGTAAGTTACAAAGAAATCCTAAACTGGAAGAGGACATAAAGATCAAGGTATATCTCCCTTAAAAGATTTATCTTAATCAGAGGCCGTTATGAACATAGTATTTCAGTTAACCTGCCCTAGTAGGAAGCTAGAACCTGGAAACCCCTGTAAGCCACCACCTCTGTGGAAATGCTTCATACATGAACCTGGCAACATTGCCCTCAGTTGAGTTCCTTTGGCTTCTATGGAGCAATAAATATTTTATCTTCTAGTTGAGCTGAGTGAAAATGGAAGAAGGGCAGAAAAAGGAGCTGAGTGTATGATTGTGCCTTTCTTTTCTACAGTGTGTTCCATGGGAAACGGTACGAGCAGACTCTATAGTGCTCTTGCCAAGACACTGAACAGCAGTGCTGCCTCCCAGCACCCAGAATATTTGGTATCACCTGACTCTGAACATCTGGAGCCCATTGATCCCAAAGAACTCCTTGAGGAATGCAGGGCTGTCCTGCACACTCGACCTCCCCGGTTCCAGAGGGATTTTGTGGATCTGAGGACAGACTGCCCCAGTAGCCACCCACCTATTCGAGTCATGCAGTGGAACATTCTTGCCCAAGGTATGTCTGATGCGTTTGTGCCTGAGCAGTTAAGTTTGCTATGACTGCCTTTCCGTTTCTGTACCTGCCCGGAGCACTGTGTTATGTGGAGGGAAGAGGTGTGGGCAGGTAGAGGTGTAGGAGGATTGGGTGACTCAGGGCAGCCGTGAGGAGCTCCCAGAAGGGGAAGGTAAGAAAGAAGCCCATCCAGTTTGCACAAATAAATCTCGCACTCAAGATTTATACCTTACCTTCCATGTTTGCAGGCTATCCAAATAGAGTATCTACTTCCCAGCATGTCCGTATTTAAAGGACCTTGTGTTTTATTAGCCTCAAACTTCTGTTGCCTCTCTCATTCCTCAGCACCAAGACAGCACTTGCAAGGGAGAAACTAAACCTGCTGAAGGGGTAACATGTATAACTTTCTTCAAGGAATTGGGGCGGGGGACTCTCTGGGGGTAGTGAGGTGGTGCGAGTGTGGAAGCCAGATTCCCAAAGCCAGATTCCCACCCGTATGTGTCTCTGTAACTTGAAGCCAAAGAGATCATTGCTTTAGTTCTTTATTCGTTAAAATGTTACTTTGTTACGGTAGAAAGGACAACTTAGGTCTGCCATATTAAAAAAAAAAAAATGTATTAGTGAACTCTGTAGTATTTACCCCTTCATGTAGCAGTTGAAATTTTTTTTTTAATTTTTTTTTTATTTATTTATGATAGTCACAGAGAGAGAGAGAGGCAGAGACACAGGCAGAAGGGAGAAGCAGGCTCCATGCACCGGGAGCCCGACGTGGGACTCGATCCCGGGTCTCCAGGATCGCGCCCTGGGCCAAAGGCAGGCGCCAAACCGCTGCGCCACCCAGGGATCCCTAGCAGTTCAAATTTTAAGAAGCAAGGTAGCTTTTTAAAGAAGGGCATATACCCACTTTTCCATCTTAGATTTGTTTTTTTATCCTCCTAGGTGTTCGTCCATAAGTAGGAAAAGCTGCCTATTTAAGATAGGTTCCATCCACATTGGTTCATATGGCTCATTACATAGTGTTAAAATTATAGATGGGGCACCTGGCTGACTCCGTCAGTAGAGCATGCGACTCTTGATCTTGGGTTGTGAGTTCAAGCCCCATGTTTGGTGTAGGGATTACTTAAAAATAAAATTTTTTTTTAATTGGCATATAAAGTTAAGTATGTTTATTTCATCTGACATGGTTTAGATCCCAGGGACTGTAAAGAACACTGTTTAAGGCTAAAATTTAAGCTCTTTATGTCCTAGGTTACAGTTACATGAAATAGTTTTAATATGAAAGAAAATAAATAGCTTCCCTTATCTGAATAGTAAGAGGTTATTTAGTTTGGTAGCTTTTTTCGTTTGTTTGGTTTTGGGGTTTTTTTACTTTTTATTTTTTTAATTTTTTTTTTAAAGAAAGATTTTATTTATTTATTCATGAGAGACAGAGAGGCAGAGACACAGGCAGAGGGAGAAACAGACTCCATGCAGGGAGCCGGATGTGGGACTCGATCCTGTATATCCAGGATCACGCCCTGGGCTGAAGGCAGATACTCAACCGCTGAGCACCCCAGGCACCCCTGTTTTTTGTTTTTGTTTTGTTTTGTTTTTTTGAGAGAGCGAGCACAGACATGTGCACGTATGAGCCTGGGGCGCAGGCAGAAGGGGAGAGAGAATCTGAAGAGGGCTCCACGCAGAGTAGGGTTCAACGCAGGGCTTAGTCTCACGACCCTGAGATTGTAACCTGAGCCAAAATCAAGAGGTACTGGATGGATGTTAACTGACTGAGCCACCCAGGCAGCTCAGTTTGATAGATGAATACAGTTTAGACAGACAAGAATCGCCTAAAGCATCTGAAGTAGAGAAAGCATTCTAAGGGTCTTGAGTCGTGTCAAACCGAAGGAGACTTGCAGGTACTTAGCTACTATAGAACCATGACTTCTAAGTACCCTGTGACAACTGACTGGCTTTTTTATTTCAGCTCTTGGAGAAGGAAAAGACAACTTTGTACAATGCCCTGTGGAAGCCCTCAAGTGGGAAGAAAGGAAATGTCTCATCCTAGAAGAAATTCTAGCCTACCAGCCCGATATATTATGTCTCCAAGAGGTGGACCACTATTTTGACACCTTTCAACCACTCCTCAGTAGATTGGGCTATCAGGGCACGTTTTTCCCAAAGCCCTGGTCACCTTGTCTAGATGTAGAACACAACAATGGACCAGACGGCTGTGCCTTGTTTTTTCTCCAGAACCGATTCAAGTTAGTCAATAGTGCCAATATTAGGCTGACGGCCATGACATTGAAAACCAATCAGGTGGCCATTGCACAAACTCTGGAGTGCAAGGAGTCCAGTCGACAGTTCTGTATTGCTGTCACTCACTTAAAAGCACGTACAGGCTGGGAACGATTTCGCTCAGCTCAAGGCTGTGACCTTCTCCAGAACCTGCAGAACATCACCCAAGGAGCCAAGATTCCCCTCATTGTTTGTGGGGACTTCAATGCAGAGCCAACAGAGGAGGTCTACAAGCACTTTGCTTCCTCCAGCCTCAACCTGAACAGTGCGTACAAGCTGCTGAGTGCTGATGGGCAGTCAGAACCTCCGTATACTACCTGGAAGATCCGGACCTCAGGGGAGTGCCGGCATACACTGGATTACATCTGGTATTCTAAACATGCTCTAAGTGTGAAGTCAGCTCTTGATTTGCTCACAGAAGAACAGATTGGACCCAACCGGCTACCATCTTTTAATTATCCTTCAGACCACCTGTCTCTAGTGTGTGACTTCAGCTTTAACGAGGAACCTGATGGACTTTTATAAATGCTTGTCTATGTCTCTTTAATCACCAGAGTCTTAACCAGGGATGTTTCAGGAAACTGAAATAGGATAAGTTGCTTGAGGAAGGATTCCCAGTTTCTCTCACATCATTTTCCATGTTTCCAGCATGCCCTTGGGAAGGAATCCCCATTAGTCTACAAACGTTTTCCATTAAAACCTATAGCAAAAAAGGTGTTTGCACTCCAGTTTTAGCTTGTAGGATTTTCTTTCCCTTAGCGTTACATTTTCATCATTTAAGGGCATTAAAAATTAGGTTTGTTTTGTAGCCTTTTCAGATTAAGGATAGACTTGCTTGAGCCCTCCATAATTAACAAGTATACAAGAACAATTCCTCTAGACAGCATTTCAGGTTATTTATTTGTGGTTGTTAAAATGTCAGCAAGGGATGCATGGCAATATTTATTTTTTTATATTTTCATGTAAGATTAAGTAATTAGAGCATTGTGAATGTTTTAAAACCACGCAGAACATAAGTTATATAGAGTAATTTATAGTGATTTTCTTAAATCTCTAAGATCTTTTTATTTGGGGGTCTAGTAGTATACAAAGGGACTATTTAGCCTGACGGGGCTTTTTTTTTTGTTCTAGAAGTGGACATATCAGGTGTCCTTGATACTTTCTTTATAAGTAATCCTTGCTATGCCTCCATGTTCCCATTGTTGGGTTTCTTAAAGAGATTCCTTGGCCAGTCAGTCTTCATTATTGAATCAGTGTTACGCACTTAAAGAGTTTTCCATTAGAATGCTATGGTATACATTTGAGGTCACTCAATGTCTATTTGTATGGGACGTGCTTTTCACACCAGGTTATTTAGGAACTGCTATGTGGCAGTAGCTAAGAAAGTAAGTGGGGCCTTCTTTTCAGAGATGGGAAACTAGGAAGCCTATCAACCAAGCTGTCCTTGAAATCTCCTAAGATAGCCAGGTGGCTAGTCCAAAACATCTAGAAGAGAGTAAAAACTTAGAAAGGTAACCTGGAATTCTGTTCCGACGAAATAAAAGTGGTAAAGATAACAAGTGAAGCCCCTTTCAAACAAAATCCCAACAAATAACCTATTGGTGAAAAATTGATAACCCGTGAGTTGTAAATATTTAAGAATAATAAATGGTCTTTTAAAGCTAGTGCTTTTAATATCTTGTCTTTTTAGTCCAAAAAGAACCTGGGAGTACATTTGATCTTTGAATACTGTTAACCTGGTGACCCACAGTAATGGATACTATTTACACACAGACCTTCATTTTTAAAGTGGACAAAGGTGGATTTGTAGCTGTACACTGAAGGCATCTATGCTTATGTAACATCTCTAGGCATCAAGGTTGGAATTCCCCAAAATGGTTCACCCAAATATTCTGCATCGGAACTACCCTTGAGACAAACGAGGTTTTCAGTACATTGTAATGTCAAGCAGGAAGAGCATCCGTACCAACTGTTATTTGGTTGAAATCCTAGCATGAGAATGGTACTCATATGCTGTTGAGAAACCAAAAGCTGATTGATACAGGCATTAGGTCTCGTATACGGTCATTAGGTATTGTTTGCGTGGCCCAAAATACACCAACCTGAAGAGAAACTGCCACAACAGCCGTAAGATGAGCAAATCCGGATGAGTATGAAAGCCGGATGAGTATAATGTTTGAATTTCAAATGTTGTCCACCAGTGTATGAATTAACAGGCTATGGACTGAGGGTTAGACGAGGGGTGGCTAGGAATGCCAATGAGCAAAAAAGCTGGAAATGCCATGTGATTGTAATGTGCCTATAAATGAAGGAGCTAGGGGGAAAATTCTGATGGAACTCTCTCCTTATGACTGACCCTTTGGAGTTACTGCAGGAGGCTAAACACTTCAGTATGCTTGTTTGCTGCTTTTGTATTTGTCTTTATTTAAAATGGAGTTATGTGAACATTTTATGTGTAAGTAAACAATTTTTTAGTAGTATATTAAATCGTGTTGCATTGTACTTCATATTTTATTTTTCCTTTTAAGTCTTCGTAGACAGACACCTTCCTTGCCTTCTGGACTAGCAGTAACCGGAAGCAGAATGGTAAGTAACACATCTGTATTCTAAGTTTTTAGGCATGTTCCACTTAATGAATTTCTCTTATTCCATCGCCTGTACCTTTTTTGATTCAGTTTTTCCTTTTATATTATCACATAATATTTTAATCATTGCAGTAAGAGTCTTAAAAAGTAAACTGCAGATTTGAAGAGAGAATGGCAATGGACTTTTTCCTCCTCCATGCTGTATTTCAGTAGATTCCCTTCTACAAGGTGGCAGGAATACAATGACCTCTTCATTTATTTAAGCAAAGGATAATGGTGTATACTACGTAAGAAGTAACTTAACATTTTGAGTTCCCTACCTTTGGCTCTAAGAGCTTTACATACAATCTTCCAACTACTCTCTCTTAATTTGTCTATACCTACTCTTAATTTAGAATGAGGTGTAAAACATCAAATCATTTTGACCAGTTTAATAGTAGTACAGCCAGTATTCAAACCCAGGTCTGCGTTGATTTCAGAGTGCTTCCTTCTTTCTTCACCAACGTGCCCCCCCCCCTTGGCCTTGAGGGAGTACAGTCGGAGAGAAAAGTGATACATGGGGGAGGAAGAGATCTGTTCAGTGAGAAATGGCCAGACACCCGAAGCAAGTATTTTGTAGTACATGTGCGCTACAGTATAGAAGCAAGATCCAGAGGCCAGCTCGTGGCTGCCAGAGCAGATCTCAGTTCCTCTGATGAAGGTAGTTCAAAAGTAGAACATCTAATACTGTTTGCATACTTTGGTTTCTTTTTTCTTTTTTCTTTTTTTTTTTTTAAGATTTTATTTATTTATTCATGAGAGACCCAGAGAGAGAGAGAGAGAGAGAGAGAGAGAGAGAGGAGAGGCAGAGACACAGGCAGAGGGAGAAGCGGGCTCCATGCAGGGAGCCCGACGTGGGACTTGATCCCAGGACCCCGGGGTCATGCCCTGGACTGAAGGCGGCACTGAACCGCCGAGGCACCCGGGCTGCCCTGTTTGCTTACTTTGATGGTAGCTTTTTAGAAAGAAGCAAGAACAGTTACTCTAGGAAGTGTTTCAAACTAGAAGAAGAAATTGATGCAGATATTCTGTATTTGAGCCATTTTTTTTAAAACATCCAAGATTTTACGATAGTGAAGGGAATGTTGCATATAATTAGATAATGTGTTTTAGGCTTGAGGAAGTTTATATCCAAGATATAAATTCTGAGAAGGGATAAAAACACATGCTCATAATCGTAATTGATCTCAGTTTTAGAAAAGGAAAGGCATCCAAAAAAAACGAACGTACTTGCAGAAAGAGCTTTTTTTAATGCCATGTATAAAAATATGGCACAGGCAAGCTTCCATCTAGAGGAGAGAGATACCAGAATGGTAGAGGGCTGGCGCTTGGGCTTCTAAATCCAGGGGAGGGGAAAACAAGCAACATCAGGGAGAAGGGCCCGGGTTCTAGGTGAGGACAGCTCGGCCCAGTATGGCCTAGAACTGGGCTCCATCTCTAGGGCCTCCGTTTTCTCATCCACAGACTATTGCGTCACACCTGCCCTGCCAACCCCATAGCTTTGTGAGATGTTTGTAAAATAATGCAAACTCTCGTGTAAAATATACACAGGATCCCTGAACTTCACTTCAAAAGTTCAGAGCAAGACAGGGGAAGGGCATTGTACCTGATAAATACCATGGGTGTTCTAACAACCCACTCTTACTATTCCACAAATCATCATCTTTTAGTTTGAAAATGGAGAAATAACAGGGTCAAGAAAATTAAGCCCCAAGTAGGTGAGGAGCTGATAGAATGGCAAGATACTTTTTTTCCTACTTGTGCATACATGAGGTTGTAGGTGATCTGGTTCTTTAATCCCATGAGAGGATGCCAACCCTACTTTGATTTGTAAAGTAAAAAATAGTGCCTTGAAACAGAATTTTCAAAATTCCAGGCCCTTGTCTCCTGGATTTCTGTGGGAAGTTCGGGTCTAAGAAAACACTCACCTGAGGTTAGACGTGCCGACACGGCCAGTCCTCTTGACAGAAGACCAGGAAAAGCTTTGTTGCTGGTAAACTGGATCATATGATTCTCATTACTGATCAACGAACGTCTCTTTCGCTTTGTCTTCCAAGACCTTCAAAGCCAGACCCTACAGCTGAATCTTAATTAATCGGTAACATTTTACAATGTTGTGTTACCGTATGCGATCTGTAATGCTTTCATCTTTTTGCCATTCTTTTTTCTTTGCCTACTTTTCTTTTACCTTTTTTATCTATCATTTTGACTTTCACTTATTCTTAGGTGATGTGAACTGTCACAAATTCTTTTGGAAATAAAGCAGAGTATAAAGGATCTTGCTACGTTAAACAGATTGAGGCCTCTAGATGGAGACAAGTTGTGTACAAGAATGGCAGCGTAGGATCACGGAGCCTCCTCTCTAATATGGAGAAGCACCACTCAAGGACTGTGTCGGACCTCTCATTGTGGTTCCCACAGATTGGTACACCTGGAGAGAACACACAGCAAAATTCTGCGGCATTGTAAGATTTAGTATGTGAGAAAAGGATCATGACGTGGTAGGATAGGATAGACTTAACTCCTCAACTAACCTCTGCCCCCACCCCACCCAACCCCCCCTCCCCCTTTTTTTTTTTAATGGGAGGGAATGTAGGTTGAGGCTAAACCTAAACTAAATTGGGAGGCAGGGGAGTTCTGTTTTTAGGTCTGCCACTTACTAGCTGAACTGAGACCGAGGAGTCCATTTTTTCCTGAACTTTAGTTTATTTGTAAATACAGGCAATAGGTAAGAAAATCTCTAAGGGTTTTTAAAACATTAAACTGAGGCACTTCAACAAGATTTGCCACTGCTCAAAAATATCTTTGCAATTTTGTGGAACTGCTTCCGTATCCAGTTTGATGAAGGTCTCAAAACCAGTGTGAATTTAATAGCCACATAGGGCATCACCTAGCTTGATTCACATCAGTTTCTTAACCTCAAGTCTGGCTATTTCTAAAACTAAAATCTTCCTCAGCAGAGAACTTGCCTCTATTATTTATGTTTTAAGTTTTAGGCACTGCTCCAGGAAGCAATTCAAAAGTATTTCTGAACAATGGTAACGTTGTTGGCATTAGTATAGCTTCCCAAAATAACCTGTTAAAGGGGCGAGGCACCTTAGCACGGTGTACTGTTGTGTAAGACTCTTTCATTGTAATTACAGAGATGTTAAATAGGAGATAAAGGCCTAAGAATTGATGAAATCTACAGTTCGTAGGCTTTTCAAAAACTCCTTGTAATACTTAATAGATGTATCTCAAACTACCACTGAACATTTTAGAAAAGCTTAGGTTAGGACACAGATCCTTGAACATAAAGCTTTCCTTGATTGTATCTGGATGGCAATGTGGTTCCCAAACTTGAGGGCAACAATGAAGTTTCCTAGAGATATTTTAAAAATCCTGCTGCCTGGCTCCCGCTCCCACACACTGTAATTTAATTAGTATGGAGTGTGACCTGGGCAACAGGATTGGTAATTCTTTCCGGGTGGTTCTAATGGGCAGCAACATTACCATTGTGTTACAGTGAACTAATTAATGTGCTACAGTAACTCAGAAATAATTTGCAGATAAGCAGTATTTCACCTGTTATGACAGTGATGGTATCACTTCATTAAGGAAAGTCTTCTAAAATAGACATTTTCTCAAAGTTAGACATTACAACAACGGGATGGGGAGAAACCTCTTGGGAGAAGACAACTGTTGGTTTACAGCCTATTTATAGTTGTTTTGTTTTGTTTTTGATATGGAGGGATTTTTTTTTGTTTTTGAGATGTATTTATTTGAGAGACTGAAAGAGAGCATGAGCAGGAGGGGCAGGAGGAGGAGAGGATCTCAAGTAGACTCCACCGAGCCCGGAGCTGGATGCCAGGCTCAGTCCCACAGCCCCGAGATCACGAATGGAGCTGAAGCCAAGAGTTGGACACTTAACCGGCTGAGCCACCCAGGCGCCCCTGCAGTATTCTGCATTAAGCAGTCGTGTCCTGTCTTAGAAGTTCGCACTTTAGAAGTTGGTGATATATTGTGCTTAAGTCCTGAACTCCGCATTACTGCTGAGTCAGTGTTCAAAAAACAGTTACGGTTGCTTAAAAAGTAAAATAGATGAGAATCCAGTCCATTTCCCTGCTGCCATTGAGGTTTCAAAAAGCCTCGGAAGGGTGGTGCAGAAAGGCCAATCAGCACACTTGAAAGGGTGAATAGTAACCTCGTTCTCCTTCGGACGGGCATCACTGTGTGCCGCCCTCCTGCAGAATACGGTTGGTCTTAATTATGGGGTTGGTCTTAATTATGGGGGACGTGATCGTAACAGAGGGCTGAAGTCCAAATAAATCACAACTACAGAGGGGTTGTGTTAGGAGTGGGTCAAAGCTATAGTAACGGGGAGAAGGTGCAGTGACACTTGTGGAACTAGGGTAGGGTTATTACTCCTGCTTGGAGCAGGCCAGGTGACTTCAAATAAGAGGAGCTTAGGATACTTCGTAAATAACCCCAAAGCCCAAAGGTGGTCTTTGTGTAGAAGTTTAGCTGGTCGTTGCTTACACACGACTTTTTATATATACAGTGATCAGAGCTGCCTTCTCCATGGTGAAGTACTGCAAGGTGTGAGGCTAGCAAACGGGGATGTACCGGGTGCCCCTCCCCTACCTGCTGCCAAGGCCATCTCCCTGCTGGGACTGCCCTTTTATTTTCATATCAACCTCTGGCTTTTTTTTTTTTTTTTTTTAAACTCTTACTCGCGTAGCCCTTCCTGCTATCCTTGATAGCGCCACCCACCCCATCTGGAAATGTTCCCTCCTTTGTGCTTTAATTCTCTGCCAACAGCCCTTCATTTCCCTGCAGGTTCCTGTTCCTCCCCCTAACCCTCATCTTCAAATTCTTTATACCTCTTAGTCACTAGACTCAGAATTCAAAGTGGACCACTCTGCAACCTGGGTGTTTTCAAGCCTATTTCAGAAATTTTTATTTTGATGTCTGTCACTTCTAACTCCGTAAATAAAGTGAACTCCTATCTCAGTGAAAGCAGAATGGTCTAGAGAGTAGCTATCCATGGTCGGGCCCAGTGAGGTACAGGTGCCTGGAATGTCTGTAGGCCAGAGACGACTAAAAGAGCAGCAAGAGGGGCACCTGGGTGACTCATTCAGCTCAGGTCATGATTCTGAGATCCTGGGATCGAGTCCTGCACTGGGCTCCCTGCTCCTCTGGGCTCTCCCCTGCTTGTATGCCCTTGTTCACTCGTTTTCAAATAAATAAGGCCTTTTTTTTTATTTAAAAAAAAAAAGAGAGAGAGTAAGGCTTGGGAAGGTGGGCAGAGGCCGGATCAAAGGACTTAGATTTTAGGAAGAGATGCCATTGAAGAGTTTTTTTTTTTTTTTTAAGATTTATTTATTCATGAGACACACACAGGCAGACACACGCAAAGGGAGAAGCAGGCTCCCTGTGGGGACCCCGATGCGGGACTCATCCCGGGACTTTGGGGTCACGCCCTGAGCCCAAGGCAGACACTCAAAAACGGTTGAGCCACCCAGGCTGTCCCGCCATTGAAGAATGTAAAGCAATTGCAGCGGAGTGACAAAATCTGCATTTTAGAATGCGCTCAACTTGTAGCATGAGAAACGGATTAGAGGGAGGTTTCATAAGAGGACAAACAGCGAAGGTAGGGGGGATTGGGGAAGGAAGCTATGTAAACGTACCATCAGTAGGATTTGATGAATGACTGGAGGTAGGAAGTAAGTTGTCTAGAGTGGTACAGGTTTTTGTGTGTGGCGTGAGTAATGGGCTGCGTGTAAAATTGTTATTTACTGAGGTAAGAACAGATTTTAGAACAGAGGTCATTCAGGAGGAAACAAAATCCTAGGCAATTAGATAAACCCATCTGAGCCTTAAAACCCTAGGCTAGAACACGTTTGGGAGTGGAAACCACAGGCATGGATGAAATTATCTAACCATTAAGTTGAAGTGAAATCATGATAGTAAACACTATGAGTGCTTGCTATATGCCAGGCACTGGCTCTAAGTCCTTAATATATCCATTTAATTCTTGCAAGTACTCTCTGAAGAGACCCACAGACAGAATCTTGCAAAGCATTAACGCTAAATGGGAAACTGAAGGAGAGCAAAGCAGACTCAGACGACTGAAGTAAACCAGGAGGAGGATGTCGTGGAAAACCAAAGGATTTTTAAGAAGTAGGCTGAAACACAACATCACATAAAAAAAGGAAGTGTCTGTTTGATTTTACTACTGGATTGTTGGGCTTTAATGAGAACTGTTTCTCTGAGCCAGGATTCAGCTACCTGAAGAGAGAGTAATAGCTATAAAACTTGTCGGAACAAGGAGACCAAGAAGGTGTGAAAGGAGAGGAAAGGCTGAGTACAGGAGGAAGACACGCCTGCCTCCTTCCTGAAACAGGTGGGTAAGGATGGATGCCAGAGTGAGTAGATGCTCTTAGGGCAAAGGGTCCAGAAGTGGAGGGAGTTCACAGCTCGTGACCTCCAACCTTCTCTTCAAAAGGTATACTGGTCATTTGGGTAAGGCCGGCGGTAAGGCCGGAGCTGTTGCTGGAAGAAGACCTAGGGAATAAACAAACAGACTGCTGGTGATGGTTCAAAGGCCCTAAGCGAGGCTGGAATACATAGTGGCATCAAGCCATTGTTTTTAGTTCTCTAAGATACTGGTCAAAAAAGCAAATGTAAGCTACAGCGGTTTACAGCTTGGATGGGTTAAGACAAAAAGCCTTACCACTGATAATCCGCAGAAACACTCTGATCAGTACGTACTGTTTACATCTGTTTTTCCAAATGTAGACCTCAGGTGTACTTAAAGAGACAGAAAAATGTCTAGGAAGAGAGGTGGAGATAACCTAGGTAGTTCTGACCTACCCCAGTTAGAACCGACTAGAAATACATTGCGGGTGGGCGTTATTCACACAGTACTGAGTCCCGTTAGCTGTCCTCCACGGCAATAGACTTAGATTCTTAGCAGATGTGTTACCAAAACCAGGACACTGAGCGTTCAGTATGCTCAGCATTTGGGGAGAGGTGTAGGTAGGGTATAAGCTATTTACTCTTTGCCCTCTAAAAATATGGGAGACAGGAGGACTAGAGAAGACGATACAATTAAGCGCCAGAGAAAACTGAAATAAATATTTAGGAAATGTTTTGAAAGTAGGTAGAATTTGAGCTTAATTCCCAAATGGGATAAGAATGGAGTTTTTCTTTGAGCTTTTATTGAAAAGTACCATCAGGTATGTTTATGGAAAAGACAAGTACAGAGGGTGCTGTCATAAAAAAAATCTCTGTCGACCTAAGTATTGGTATCTGATCAAATGCACAACTGAAGGCCACAAAACATTAAGTATCAGTTTATTTAATTTCTAAAAGATGTAAAAATAGACGACTTTTCTTTGTAGTAGAAAGAGCATTAAGATGTAGAGTCACAGGCCCTAATTTGGTGTGAAATTAGGAAGTTCATGTAATCCCTCCGGTACCTCCATCTGCTAAGTTTGTAAAAGGGCTAGGGTATTACTTGATCTTCTTAACCCTCCAAAGGTCTGGTCGAGAAGTAACTGGTCTGATTTGAAATACAAATTCTTTAAGTGTGGCCAACATTAAAATAATAAACTCATTATGGTAAATAGAACATTATAGTTCATGATAGAAAATAAGTGGCAACATGCAGATATTTGCCAGATATTGATGTAATGGAACAAAACAGAAGGAAAATTTCTTCACACAGTAGGGAAGGAGAAATAAGACTTCTTAACTAAAACGGTGTCTCTATACTACTTTTGAGTATTGTTATAAATACCAGAGACCAAAACACAACATAAATTTCGTTTCTATATTTCAGAAAACCTACTTGAATACACTTTGAAACAAGAGTACAACAAAATAGAATATACTTCAAATGTTGAATATACAAACTATTATAGTTCAAATCTGAACACTGGTACTTTCCCTCTTAAACTTCAACTAAAAAAAAAAAAAAAAGGAAGGAAAACAAAAAACGAAAACACCAGGTATTAGAGCTACCTGACAAAAATTCATGCTGAGCCTGAACGTCCAAGTGACAGAAGAACTGAAACTGATATGTCTGCACAGATGCCAGGGCTAAGTGAGTGACACAGGCAGGTTACAGCAAAAGGCCAGAGCCAACTGTTAATTTGTCCACAATTAAGAAACTGACAGACTTAAAACTACCATATAAAATGTTACATGTAAATTCTATAACAATACTGTGCTAGGTACAAGATTTTTAAATTTTTTTCTTTTAATAAAAAAGCTTTACACAAACAAGCCATTAGCTTATTTCAATAAAGAAAACTGAAAATTAGTCTAAGGCCTTTGTTTTAAATCAGCTTAAGCTATATGATATAAAAAAAAATCGCACTAGATCTTTTTTGCTATCCTCTTTCTGAAAAGCTTTTGGATCCATTTTCAATTCACATTCTAAAATACCTATATTAGCAGTCTTCACATAGCACCAGTTAAGTGAGTTCTGTGTGAACACAGTAATAATTGCTGGTATGCATATAAAATGCATCAAAAATTGCTATATGTAACAACGAGATCACCCATCCCAACCCCTCCCCGCTGAAAACTATAGAACCTCTTACAGAATGTTAGTGTTCCAAGTCTTAGTGTAACTTGCTATTGTAGTGAGTTGCTTGGTCCCTTTCAATCCTCCTCCTCCTCCTCGTCGACAGGATTCAGTTGTTTCCTACTGTAAGAGGCAGTTTTCTGTCAGCATCTCCGTATGTACGTTCATTTCCCACTGAAACATGGGATAGGTAATTTATTTCCAGTAAGTCTGATTGTTTTCTTATATGCATTAAAAATGTTTTAAAGTCTTTTGACTTTTCTTGATGACCTCCCTTGGGAACATTTGTTAGTACTCCCACTAACAGTCTAAAGCCCACAGCAGAGCTGCTCTTTCATTTCTCACATGTCACCAGTCCTTCCGTTTTCATAGTTACAGGAAGGGCAATAGCTGAAGGCGCACTGACAACCACTACGTGGGTCACTGTCTTATTTCCATCTGCCGGTTTTTCTTCTTGTACCAGCTGCAAAGTTTTCACGTCATGTTCTTGCTTTTTTGCCACCGCTTCTGATTTTACCTCTGGCCCTTTTATGACCGCACTGATAACTCGCGGGGGAGTCTGGCCAGATGCCTGTTGGGTAGGCACTGATAGTCTCATTACAGGTGTACCGTGGGCTATTGAAACAGGGGTAAGTGCTCTCACAGCCAGCGGGGTTCCGACAATGTTAATGCTTCCTGACCCAGTCAGATTTGACTTTGTCTGCAGTTGACACTGTGCAAGTTGTGTAGCTGGGATGGTGATAATTTTGGCAGGCTGCATGGTGATTTTGTCTCCATTTTCAGAAGAGGCTGGCATCACAGTAGGGATTGTCTGAATAACTACCTTTGGAGAGGTTGCTGTTGTGGGACTAGTGCTGGTTATCAATGGTGCACCTGCATTAACTGACTGAACTGCCACAGTCGAGATTTTCTGACCCAACGATGTCATTACAACAGGTACTTGCATTGCCACACGAACTGTCCTGGTAGATTCAAAAGAGTTGATTTAATGTTAAACAATAGGTTTTTTGAGCAAAAAGATGATGCAAATCTAATGTACAGAAGGAATGTTCCCAAATTTTACAGGTATATGACCATTTAGAATATGAAACATCATGAAATATATTTTTAAAATGCTGCCCACATTAAGTTCCATCTGTAAAACCATAAAAAACCAATTCAAGTTAGTTGAGACCTCTACTTTAACAAAACAAAATACATTTAAAAGATCAAGCACTTTTTTTTAACATCAAGCACTTTTCAAAGTCTTGACAGTAGATTCTTAGGCTGCTAACGGTAAAAAAGGAACGTAATCGTTTTTTGCTAAAGAACTTGCTAAGAAATAAACACAAGTAGTTTCCTTCACTGACCTTGGAGCTGTTGTTGCTGACACAGATGCGGTGGTAGTAGGACACCTGGATGGAGTATCATGACCAGGGGAAGTGATATTCACAACTCTAGCTACACCTTTCTCTGCTCTGGAGCAGTTTAGAGATGAGTTTTTGCCACCACGAACAGAAGCTGCTTTCAGGAGACTCTCTGCAGACAGTGATACTCGTTCTAATGACTTTTCATCAGTAGCTGCTGCTAAATCTTCATTACAAGTTTCACTTTTGTCATCATCTATGACCACTATGTTTTTGGGCATATCCTTGAACTGATAGACAAGCCTCTGTCCTTCGACCTTTGCAAGAATACCCCTTTGGTAATAATACCTGTAATGGAGACAGTACTAAATGAGTCAAGTGTATTGTACACACACACACACACACACACACACACCGCCCAAAAAAAAAACCCACCATGTAGAAACATTCGCTTATTCCTGTTAGAGATGAGAAGGAGCTCTTATTGGCTGGGTTGTTTAAAAGGCTAAGAATCTGACTAGGAATGCAGGTGGAACCTGGTACCAAAGGTCCTTTAAAACTTTAGGTCTATAAAGTAGCTAAAAGTTCTCATTCTTAAAGGAAATAATTCAAACTAAATACTGAATATTGTATCTTACAGCATCAGCAAAAATTCAACTCTGATTTACACGGGTTATAAGAATAATCTGACATTATATAGAAAAATTAAGCTGTGCTTAAACAGGTAAATCTGTGGGACATGTGAATACTGTCCTATAAACTATGTGTCCATTTACAAACATCCCTAATTAGAAGCCATCTACACTGCAGTTTTGTGGGTTTCTCAAAAACTGACAAAACTTCAAAGAAATTTTCCTATTAAGATAAATCCACAAGAACTGAAAAGCTGTATTGGAAACTATTATTTCATCTGGGTTTAATTTTCTTAAAGGCCTCCCAACTTCCTGATTAAGGAACAGTCCTAAGTGTTAAGACACATTTTTCCAATGATGGCTGAGATTTCAGACATCTAGACCAAAATCTTTATCTCCATCTACCTCCAAGTCCAAGAACTCCTCTAGAATATCCCCCAAAATTCAAAGTTAGAAAAAGGTTAGGTTTTTAGAGCTTTTCTATTAAACAATTAATAGATAATACAGAGGCAAGTAGGTTTTGTTTAAAAATTCATTTCCTTGTATTCCTACCTCAGAGCTCGTCCCATAGTTTCATAGTTCATATCTGGCTTGTTCTTATGCTTTCCCCAAAGTTTAGAGACAGCCTTTGAATCCACAAGCTTGAATATGCCTTTTTCTCTCTGGGTCCACTTAATATACCGAGGACAAGTATTTTTATCCTGGAGTAGATCTAAAAGAAACTCCCACAGATAGGTTGTGTTTCCTTTGAAGAAATGAAAAGACATTGGTTAAAAATTCATTAATATAATTAAAAGCAAATAATCAGGGACACTTGGGTAGCTCAGTTAAGCATCCAACTCTTGTTTTCTGCAGATCATGATCTCAGAGGACTGAGTCCCATGTCAGGCTCTGCACTGGGTGTGCATCCTGCTTAAGACTCTCCCCCCACCCCCCACCCCACCTCCACTTGTCCTCTCTCAACAACAACAACAAAAAGCAAGTATTTAACTACACTGGACAAAAATTCACTACCTAATGGTAGAACAACTATCCTAGCAGTCTGTCATTAAGTATTTGATTATATGAGCAATCATTTATACAGTAATCAAAGTGTGTTGCCTAGTAAGTTTCATATACACTATATTCCACTGTAACATAATCCTAAATATATTTGTTAGTCACTAATAGTTATGATACTAATATAATAGAGGTCCTGGATTTTGTACTATTATGCATCACCTTATACTAAATTGAGTTCAGTAAAGGCAAGGCAAAGGCATAATGCGTAACACAAAGTGAACCTGAATTAAACAGAATTTTCTAATTTATTAATTTACATAGATCTAAACCATGAATAAAATTTGCACCAGTATGTTTGCTATATAAGCCCCAATTCCATGATCAAAATTCATCAAAAAGCATTTATTTGCGGAAAAGGCAAGCAATACACAGTGAAATCTGCAAAACTTGTAGACATCAGTCCTAGTGTCTTTAAAAGAAACCCATTTTAATTTTCTTTCAGGTTTTAAGTAATCTCCACACCCAACATGGGGCTGGAACCCCAAGATCAAGAGTCACATGCCCCACCCAATGAGATAACCAGGCACCCCAAAACATATTTTTCTTTGATTCACCATTATGCAGGAACTCTGAAGTGCCTAGCGTATAAATTAGTACAAATTACCCATGACTCTTTAAAAAGCTTTCCATTACCCTCTGGACTACTAGTTAATTTGGATTTGATTTTCAAGGAGACCTCCCACCTCTTAAAAACTGGCAGGTTCTTTTTTTTTGTTATTGCTAATCTCTTTCTACTGGTCACGATGCAGACCAGCAATATATACTAGGATTTCATCATATATATGTGAACAGTTGAGTAAATACGTTTGTGCTTCAGCATTAAAGTAACACAGCAACTCCTTTAACTAGTCGAGCATTCATCAAACGCTAACTATAACATTTGATCACATGACTATCCAAATCTGAAAATGAGGTATTTCTGCGGAATAACATACTCATTCATCATACACTATATGCTTAAGTGTAGTAGAGGATACAGAAAAGCATGTAAAACTTGGCCCCGGGGTGCCTGGGTGGTGGCTCAGTTGGTTAAGCATCTGCCTTTACGTTCAGGTGGTGATCCCAGAGTCCTGGGATGGAGCTTGTCTCATCAGCAGGGAGCCTGCTTCTCCCTCTCCCAGCACCCCCTGCCCACCTCCCCCCACCACCCCCCCTCCTGCTGCTTGTGCTCTCTTGCACTCTCTCAAATAAATGAAATCTTAAAAAAACAGACAAAAAAAAAAAAAAAAACCCTCAACAACACTCCTCAGGTTCTCTTTGGATACTCACTCCACCCCAGTTCCCACCCTGAAGTTAAAACTCAAAGTTCTCTATCTCATTTTAAGGAGAACAATTCAGAAAGGGAAGCCGCATTTATCAGATAAGGTAGCTCATTAAGCCTATGACAGACATTATCAGCATTTAGATTGATATTTTACAGAAGAAACACTGGATCTTTTTTCCTTAAGATTTTTAAGTACTCCTATACTCAACATGGGGCTTGAACTTACAACCCTCATGATCAAGAGTCGCATGTTCTACTGACTGAACCAGCCAGATGCCCCCTATTAGATTTTTAATTTTTAATCTTCGCAATTCAACATGTTACCTCAAGTTTGATGATACAAGACTGAAACTTTGGCAAAAACAGGTGATCACAACGTGTTTCTCCAGTGTTAGGCATAAGGTCTTTGGGTACAAGAGACCAATGATGATGGAAATTATTTAAAACACAGTAAAATAACTACAGACTTACAGTTTATCTAATATTTAATACTATTATGTAAGTTTTAAAGTTTTCAACATAAAAGACAAAACCTAAGATGTTAGAAATGTAAAATGACCAAAGACAGAAAAATATCCTAAATTTATCCTATGTTGAATTTTATTAGTTCCTGAATAAGTAACAGTTAAATGTAACTGTATTTTTTTTGTTCTAAATTTCTCAATAGACTTAATAGAACTTTTTTTTTCTCCCCTAGAGATTTAATTTTTGATTTAATTATTTAAGAGTAGATATAAGACCATCTGTTGAGGATAGAATAAACCTGAATATATTAATCCAAAATCTATCTATTAAATATTAGTCTAAAAACATTCACAGAAATGATAAATTCTGATTATCAGAACATACCTAAAACCACGATTAAAACACTACCTTAAATCATCTAACAAATTAAGAGTGCAGAATGTGGGAGGCTTGTCATTAATTTGATTTCAATGAAAATAAATTCTAAAGCCAAAATATGGTAAGGTTTTTTTTCTGATTCCCGGTATGACTGAAATTGGTTGACTAGGAGATTGAATTCAACTTGCCTTGAGAATTCTTGCATTACTTCTATCATTGAAAAAATTAGGTATTAGAAATAACTTAGTTATAAACCTACCCCCCCTTCAATTCCAAGTGGCTCTATGTGAAGAGGAATGCTGTTATACACACGTACCTCCCTTAAGAACAATGGCTCTTAAGAAGGCTGTGCATCAGTCTGCATTTTATTTATTTATTTATTTATTTATTTATTTATTTATTTATTTATTTATTTATTTTTTAAAGATTTTGTTTATTCACAAGAGACGCAGAGGGAGAAACAGGCTCCCCTTTGGGAACCCGATGTGGGACTTGATCCCAGGGCTCAGGGATCATGACCAGAGCCAAAGGCAGACAGACGCTCAACCACTGGGCCACCCGGCCATCCCCAGACTGCATGTTAGATGGCCTTTTCCAAACACAAATGCCTACTACCTTTTATTCCCCTGCAGTGTATATCTATGGCTATAGAATCTCAGTGGGGTAGGAACTGGGAAAAAGCTCCCCGAGGCAATGCTCATATATATCTCTGATTAAGGATACTACTACTACCAAAGACAGTACTTCACCTGTAGATGTATTGGAAATAATGGTCTTCACACACTTTCTTACAAATGCAAAAAATGTCAACTGAAAAAAAAAAATCATCTCAACCTCCAAAACAGCCCTCCCCAAATTACCTTTTCCTTCTCTGGGTTTCTTCTTTATACCTAACTCAGGAGACCCATTGGAAATTGGTGATTGCTGGGTCTTTGGTTTACGGCCAACTGAAAAAATAAGATTGAAACCACACATTGAAAACAGGAAAAATAATAGAAGCATGATTAGCAGACTCTGATAACACATTACTCATGAAATTGGACACTAATTTGTGGATTAATATACTCAGTGTGTATACAAAAAGTTGCATTTAAAAGGAGCATTAAAAGCACTTCTGTAATTTTAGATTACAGCAGTTAGTTGGCAGTAATTTCAGTGTATATGGCAAGTCAGGTGCTACCAACCTATTATTTACTCGGTCAGAGCCTCAATTTGCTAAACCTCTTCCAATAATGTATAGCAAAGGAAACAAATTCTAGAACAAAACTTTTTTTCTTTTCTGTTCTACAGGATTGTTAGAAAAAGCTTTACCTACCTATTGCAGAGGATCTGATAATCTGCGAGGCCCTTTGAGCTCAAACGGGGAAAAGTAAAAAATATTATTTTAAACACTCAACTGCTCTGAGCCAATCAATTCACCAGAATTTAAGCATAAGTGTTCAAATTTCCCCACCTTGATATGCAGGTACATTATACGGATAAAAAAATTAACTATCTCCCATATTTAGTAAGTGTGCCCTTTTATAAAACTTCACTTATTCACGAGAGACCCACAGAGAGAGGCAGAGAAGCAGGCTCCTCGCGGGGAGCCCGATGTGTGGGACTCAATCCCAGGACCCCGGCCGGGATCACGCCCTGAGCCCAAGGCAGATGCTCAACCACCAAGCCATGCAGGCGTCCCAAGTGTGCCCTTCCTTTTGCTTCTCTTCACTTCTACCGTAAGGTTCTCTCAGACAGACTAGCATCCACAATGAAAGGAAAAGCAAAAGCTAATAATTATACCAAAGAAGGCATAAGGCTGAAATGCCTTGTTTTCAATCCTCAGCACTGGTAAAAGAATGCTGGCTGACCAGGGGAAGCCTCCAGAAAGGCTGGGAATAGTCGAGTTTATTACAATTTGCAGATTGAGTATATTATTGCTAATTTGGTGACTGTCATACATCTAGGATTTCTGATGTCACTCTGCTCTTCATTAGCAGAGTGTATTTAGAGCTAAATAAATACCTAAAAATCAAAGTGTTTTAATTTATTTCAAAATACATAGCTATTCTCGGATTTCATTATGGTAACTAATCAGTAAGAAGTGTGCTTTGGCAAAAATAAAAATGGAAAGTTTCTCTGGTCTCCTTTATTAGAACAGAAATTAATTTCTCAATTTACAGAGTATAAATCAATCAGTGATAAGACTCAAGCAAAACAAAAAACAAAAAAAGAACAAAAAAAAAAAAAAAAACCTTCAACTTCCTTCATCAAAACGTTAGCCCTAAAAGGCCTAATTTATTTTCATATAAAGCAGTATTTCCTAAATCATACTTCTTAAGATCTAGTTTATTCATGAGTAAGAAACAAGGTTCTACAGTCAAATTAACTTTAGAACACTGTCTCACAGAGTCACAACACACTCTAAAATTGAGTTTAAATAAAAAGTTTAAAAAGTAACCTAACTTTGCACGTCCCAAATGAACTTAAGCACAAATAAATACATAATATATGTATAGTTATAATATACATTATAAATAATTTCTAAATGATCATTAAGATCATCTATTTTCAAATAAAAAAATTAATTTTAAATTGGCAAATCATTTCCTGGTTTATATCAGACCACATAGGCAGATCAATTTATCTAGAGGTCTTGGTTCCCAGCTTTTTATGGTCTTTTTCATCTTCTTTTAAATCTAAAAATTTCCTGGGGCACATGGATGGGTCATTCAGCTAAGTGTCCAACTCTGGATTTCGGCCAGGGTCCTGATTTCAAAGTCGTGAGACCAAGCCCTGCCTCGGGCATGGAGCCTGCTTGAGATTCTCTCTCTGTGTCCACCCCCAACCCCTAAAAAAATAAATCTAAAAATTTTCTAAATATTTTTTAATAGCTCCTATCAAATACAACCAGCCAAAGGCGATAGTGAGGAAGTGGGTAAACAGGACTATTAATATGTTTGCCTTTTTTTTTTTTAAACATTTACAGCAGCAAGTAATCCTTCCTTAAAAATTCTCTCGGTCATACCTCTCACAAAATACATGTAATCTCACAAAATACAGGAGGGAAGACACTCAAACCTTATTCTTCACTCTGTCCCTCACAATAACGAGCATAGACCCACCAACACCACAACAATTTGAAATACCTCTAACAAATGAAAGAAATTACCATTATTTCTAACACAAGTTTTTTTACTTTTGCCTTTGATTTCTAACATGTGAAAAAAAAAGATAAAGAAAGTGGAATTAGATGAGTACTCATTTATGCAGAATTTTATTTCTTTCAAGTTTTACTTCCGATTCAGACAGGAAAAGGACCCACTTGCTGCCCATCTCCTAGTGCTGTTGGAGGTGTGAGGGGCCTTCGGCCTCACCCATCAGGATCGAGTGAGGAGAAGTTTCAGCAGGAGTCAAATAGTAAGTGGAAATGAAATGCTCTTTACCCACTGATGAGTTTATTCCACTTAAAAGTCCTTGTTGGCAACCTTGGGTGTTTTAATTAAGACGGAAGGTACAGGGGAGAAAACAGCATTGGGCTTTTTATTGTAAAGCCCACAAAAAGAGTGGGAAGATAAGATGAAAAATAGAAAAAGTTAAAAAATAAAATGTTTTTTAAAAATAACCAAGTAAAAAAAAATAAAATAAAATAACCAAGTACCCTAAAAGGATCAGAAAGCAGACAAGCAGTGAATCTCTGATCTTCCTTCTGCTTGTCCAAAATTCGTTAGAATTCTATTTGCAGGCAACTTTCTTCAGAGCTCAAATATCAACTCCTTTAAACAGTAAGAACATCAACACAAAAATAAAATCTCGATTGATTGATACTCTGAGAATACCTAGGTAAAGATAACATCAATCATAAATCTACAGCATATATTTCCTAAGTCCCCTGATGGGGGGAAAGATATTTCACCCACTTTTCTGGAAATCTGTAAATATACTCTACCTTTTTTCTTTTTCATTGGTTCATGGCTATCTGGTGATGTAGGAATAGGAGAGGTATCCATTGGTTCAGATTCTTCAGTTGACACCTCCACTACGGTTTCTGTAATGACATCTGGCCTCATAGCAGCATGGATAAATTCTGGAGTTGATACACAAGGAGGGACAAACACTTCCACTATAAAAAAAAGTTGAAATATTAAAATTTCCCACCCCCATTAGTACTTTTTCTCATGTGGACAATTCAATATTTAATAGAGGTGAGGTTCATTTAACAATTCATCAAAGTAGGGTAAGAGCCTGAAGTTACTTTGCTGAATATGGAATACAGTTTAAAGTATGTTAGGAAATAAATGCAAAGAAAATCACCTTGAAGGAAAATGTTAATCCCATAGGTAAGGTAGGGGTCATGAGGAATCACCCCCTTTCTTCACATTTTTACATACTTTCAAGCTTACTGTAGAAGACTTTTGAGTTATTCTGACAATTGGGAAAACATTTGGAAATAAAATAATGGAACAATAGTGAGTTCTTTAACAGTCACTTTCCTTCCCACTACTGCCCACCATTATTCTCTAACTAGGTAAAACATGCACATGGTATAAAATTAAAAACATTCTTATGTGTCTCCAGTGAAAAGAAAGCACTTACAAGATCATTTCAAAATATGAAGAAAAGAAAAACCTGCTCATCAAAGCCCAAGGAATATCATCTTTCAATATCTAAAATTTTATCAAATGTAACAGTCCTGCCTGATGTCTTAAGGTCACTAAAACAGTACATAGAGACTGCCATTTGGTGTTCTGTTAGATACAACAGTGTTGCTCCAGCTTCCTTCCAAAGTGCCTGAATAGTCATGATATGTCATTACTATTTCAATTAAGAGACAGTTAATACTACTACCGTGGACTAATACATTGACTGCGCTCGCTTCAGCAGCACATGTGCTAAAACTGGATTAATACACTGACCGATATGCCCTGATTTTCTTCTCACATCACTGAATAATACATGGCATTCCTATTCTAATTGAAAAGTACAGTCGCTCTTGGTAGTTATTATAAATCCCTCTAATAAGAAGGGCCAATATTATTGAATTAAGTCAAATTAACACTCGGGCATTAAAATTAGAGGACAAAATGGCTCTCAAAGGCACTCTTAAGGAAAAAGAGACCAAAAGAGAAGGAAACTCTCAGCCTGAGAGAGAGTATGAGGAAATGGTGAAAGCTATCTCCTCTCTCCACCAAGGAAGGTTCCCTGGAGCTACTGCCTATTTACCACTGAATACAAGATAGAAAGTAGTCACGGGACACAACTCCCCCACCCCCACCTGCCACTCCCTTAAGGACTGACTACAAAGGTTAAATAATTAGTACAAAATTATAAATTTACCCAGAGTTAAGGAAATAAGACATAACGGCATAAAAAAATAGCAATTTAACAAACATTTATCTGTCTACGGTGGGCATTTTCTGTATCATTTATTATAAAAAAAAAAATAAGTATTTCAAGTATGTGAGACTTGGGAACTTTGACAAAGATCATTTATTGCTGCTACAGGTATTCATGCATAATAAACCTTGAGAACAACGATAATCCCCGCGTATTTAAGAAAAAAACCCATTGTAGATACGCGAAGTGACGTGACGTGTTTAATATAAAAAAGAACAAGTCACATACCAGGACTTCTTGAATCCCTCAAGCAGGTAGGAGATTCCATATGAAGCAGGGCTTCAGCAGCTTCAATTGTCTTATCTGTACAGTGTGCATTACTGCTATGAACTGATGCTTCCACTGGGGGGAAAAGAAGTTCTACTCAATTAAAAATGCACTGAATACATGACTAAATTAAAACGTATTACTCTATGAAAAACAAATCAATTCTTGTGTGGATAACTCTAAATTAAGTCACTGACACATATCAGTCCATATAAATTATTTACAGAAATAATTTTAAAAACGAAATCACTAGTATCTGTACTTTGCAAAATGGATGTTGATTATCAAGCAATGATTACTGAGAAACTTCTGAAATCTTATCGAAAGGAAAACAAAGAAAGACCCTTGAAATCTGAACCCTGTATCAATTTTAGAGCAAAACTAACTTGGAGGTGGTGGGAGGATGGCTGGCGATGAACAATCCCAGGAGGTCAATGATGTATCGTGATATACATACAGCCACTGAAATCAGGGGCAGGAACTTGCAGAATCCGTCAGAAACATGCATTTCCTAAGTTAAACGAATTACTCGGATTCTTACAGACCATCCGAGGTGAGTGCACCAGCACAGCACCAGATACCCAGGAACTCAATTCCCAATAACTTTGTCTCTTCTTCTTCAAGACTTCAATTTTTTTCTGGTTTTACCCAATAAATTTGCTTTTAAAGTGTCTACGTCTGTTTTCCTTGAAGCCTTTTCCAATCCTGCCACCTTCTGTAACTCCCTTTTAGCACTTACCCTATGCTGTGCTGCTTGAATAACTAGTGAAAAAGTCAAGTATACAGCGATCGTTTGGCTTTTCAAGTCCAAGGTTGGGTCCTAGACTCTGCTACTTACAGGTTACCCTAGACCAGCAATTTAATTTCTTGTAAGGCTCAGTTTCCTCTTTCCCAAAACGGAGGAGTATCACTTAACCTCATACAGTTGTGAGAATTAAGTGAGGTAATTAATACTCATAAAAAAACATGTACAATGCCTGGCAGATGGATAAGAATTCAATAAATGGTGGTAATTTCTTATCATTTCTGTTAAGATTCTAAGTTTCTTGAGGTTGTGGGGGCTATCTTACTTCATCTTTATTATCTGCTACAATTCCCAATGTAGATTTTTAATACAACAGGCACGCAAGGATTTCTTTTATATATTAAGGTTAAGAACAACCCAGGGAAACTGGCCATTCAAACACAAACTTATATAAATTATATTACCTTAAAAATATTGGATATTCTACTTGGTTCTGAAACATGAATATGTAAGTTTTTAATTTGATAGATTTTTCTCAAGATGTCCTCTAAAAAGACTAAAAGGAAGTATTTGTACATATCTTATAAACTGTATCACAAATTCACAAGTTCTATACAATAACGATACGAATTTTTAGAAACTGCTTCCAGCAAACTTTAAATTGAAAAAGAAAATTTACTTAATGACAAAATTCACTAAGCGCTAATCTAAAGCCTTAAATAGCAGTCATTTGGAGAGCATTTATTAAAAGAAAAGAAAAAAAAAAGAAAGAAAAAAAAAATCCAGCGACTGTTTTACCACCTGTTGCACATCATCCACACTCTCAACCAAGGTACTGGGTCTCTCCAGTTGCTCTTTCCATTTATGGAAATCTGCTCAAAGCTAAACAGTTCCAGAGAGGCAGCCAAACCTCTAAGTAAATCTATCTTTAGGTGACCCTGCTTACTCTTATCTGCGGCTTCACTGAAGCAAAGGATTCAATCAGTCCTTCTAGCTCAACTTTAAGAAACTTAGTAAGTATAAGATATATTGCCATTCTCAAGAATTTTTTTCAGTGCTTCCCACAATACTCACATATACTAAAGAACCCTGGAAAGCAAATTCTCAGGGTTTTATTCTAGGAACTTCATTCTCTTTAAAGTCTGCTTGTGTTGCAATTTAGGTGTTGTTTTAGGTGCTATTAATAAACTATCCCGGGTAAACCAATTCCTTATGTAATTGTATTAAGACACACCCTAAAAACCTTGCCATATTAAATAAAATAAGTGCTTCAAAGACTTGATAATACAGCAACAGAATTTTACCCAAGTTTTTAATGTTTTCAGTTATAAGCAAAATGAGGCATGCCTAACTAACAATTACAAGTAATGGTGCCCCAGGTTTTTATGTAGTTTGAGGCCCATTCATAAAACCATGATTTCACGTTAGTCATGTCCTTGGAAATCATTTCTTAAAAAGTGTATTTTCTTGCTCCTATCTCTGACCTCAAATTCCCCTTCCCCCTAAATTCAACATACTATTTCCCAGAAATATTTCACATTTACAGAGTAAAACAGAACACATACAAACTTAAGAATGCAGTTTATTAATTCATATTTTAAAATTAGGGTGAGAATATCAAAAATGCATACGTTCTCTGTGAATATTATCAATCAGATCTAGTACTCTATGTACAGTCAACATTTGGGTGTTGAGCATTTACCACATATGCCAGACCCTGTGTTATAAATGTGAAAGGTAAATGTGAACGGATCTCTGGCCTTGTGAGGCTTGTACTAATAGTTCAGAAACATAAACAGTAGTATCAAAAACACAAATGGAAATAAAACAGTTCAAAACTAACGAAAGGTATAAAATAATTTACTCTGTAAGCTAACAGCTTGTTAAGTAGAGCACTGATTTTTTTTTGATGCTTTCTAATTCTACTTTTTTGTCATTTTTATCAAGTAACTCTGAGCACATGCGAATAAATACCTAACAGCTCATACTTAGATCAATTTACAATAGTGTACCTACCAGTTTCCAAGAATACTTCACCATTTGAAAAAGAAAGCACTTTAAAAAAATTTTTGTTGATATGTCAATAGTTTTTGATAATTTTTGAAAATTTTTCAATTCATTTCGTTTAACTCAGTAATTAAAATACAATTTAAACTAGAATTATGCACAATTCTTAAGGATAAACATGAATTTAACAGTGTCGTACAATCCAAGGAAGCAAATAAGCACACTATAGGCAAGGGCTGAAAAATCCTTATCTCTTACTTAAAACTTGATTCACTGGTATCTTTTTAGACCTGTGTATGAAATTAATGGGGGGGGGGGAGCAATTCCTTTTAAAAATAGAAACAATGAAGCTAAAAGTAATCTGACAGGTATCATTTTCTACTTGAAGAGTAGTACTTGGGTGTTGCTGGTCAATTCCTCTTGAAGAAATAAACGTATCAAATAAATTTCAAAAGAATTTTAACTTTGATCATAGTGCCAAAAATCAAATTTGCTCATGTCCTCCTTTACTATTGGTAAAACTCTTCTTGTTCCATTTCCAGCTTTCTAATCAACTGGTGTTTGTATGGTAGACTATTCCAGACTCACTCAACAGCTGTTACAAAATACCAAACTTGGTAATTGAGTCTGACAAGAGACATACCTCTCAGCTTTGCAGAAGAGAATACTGGCAATGGATCTAGCTCATAACAAAGTTCTTAAAGTCAAAAATAAAAGTTAATAGCAATTTAATTTGAGAGCAGTGGGAAAAAATTAGAAAACCCTTCCCTGAATGATAGTAGTATGTCCCTACAAGCAAAAGACCATAAACTAATAATACAAGGTCATCCCTCAAGCAGGCAGAAGCAGGCACCTGACTTACCATAGCTTATCTTCTAATGCCCCAAGGCATAATAGGTGAGTGGAGAATACAAATGAATGTAATAAAAAGGGGGGGAGAGGAGGGAAAGGTGGGAAAGGTGGAACTCTGGGACACTCCATCTTTTCTGGTTTCTCTGACTTTCTAATCAATATAGTCACAATTTAAAAGTTTAAAAGGAAAAAGGAACTAAAATTATTTTCTGAAACAGGGCTGAGGGCTGCCTGATGAAAATACAACGTGAGCCACGTATAATTTTCAAATTTCCAACAGCCAGATTTTAAAAAGTGGAAACTGAAATTAATGCCTTTCCTTTAACCCAGGATAGCCAAACTATTGTCACTTCAAGATGTAATCAATATAAACGTTTACCACAGCTTGTTTTTAAGTTTACATTATTTAAAATTTTTAAAAATTAAAAATTCAGTTTTTCAGCCACAAATACAATAGCTACTGGCTATGGTACTGAAAAGTGCAGACCAAAAAAACAAACAAACAAACAAACAAACAAACACTGCAAAACAGCTACTCTCAAACTTTTTTGGTCAAAAGAAACTTTCACACTCAAACTAATGAGGACCACAAAGAGATTCTGTTTATGTAAGTCCTAATTTTAGACATTATTCTATTCTATTCAGAATTGAAATTAAGAAGACATTAAAATATTTATCAATTCATTTAAGATAATAAACCTAACACTTTTAAGTAATTTAATGAAAAAATAGCTTTTCTGTAATAAAATTAGTGAGTAGCTTGGTTGTACATTCTTGGTAAATCTTTTTAATACATGGTAGAAAGCAGCTGGATTCATATTTGCTTCTTCACTGAATTTCCTGTAAAATCAAATCACGTCGCCTCTAGAAAACTCTGAAGGTGAAAAGGCAAATAATGTCTTAGAATTATTATGAAGACAATTCTGACTTTACAGACTCCCTGAAAGAGTCTAGGGACTCCCCAGATCCTCAGATCAGAGGTTTTATTTCAGTCTTTAAGAACTGCAGCTAAAATTTATTACCAAACATAGTAGTAACACCCAATTCTATCCTCATGTCTCTATAAGCTTTAGCTTCTAAACAAGCGTACAGATGAAAAATGATGACTCCGTTTTCCGTAAGTACAGCAGAGCAGCACTTTGTCCACTTACACATAAAGGATTTTTTGTCAAGTTTTTCATAAATACTTTCTTTGCATCCCTTTGAACATTTAAGCTATAGATAACACAAGGTCTCTAAATAATCATCAAGAACATGCTCCTGCCTGCCCTTCTCCACCAGCCACATGTTTCTAAAGGAAATTGTTTTATGTTGAATTATCCTGATTGAGTCCTTAAATACTGATGTTACTTTGACTCATTTTTTTCATGAATTTTACTAATGATGCTGCAGTGACTTCTGAAAAGTAATTTCTTAAACACATTTTTAAATGGTTTATTTTTTCTTTCTTTCTTTCCTTTTTTTTTTTTTTTAACGGGGGCCTGGGTGGCACAGTCAGTTCAACCTCCGACTCTTGGTTTCAGCTCAGGTCCTTCCTTATCTCAGGGTAGTGAGATTGAGCCCGGCGGGCGTTGGGCTCCGTTGGACTCCAAGCTCAGCACAGAGTCTGCTGAAGTTTCTCTCCCTCTCTCTGCCCCTCCCAGCTGTGTTCACGCTCACTCTCTAAAATAAATAGATCTTGAAAAATAAAAACAAAAAGTGAATGTCATTCTTCCAGTTTTATTTCAACACATGCTTCATCTTTTCACATCCTAAATTGTTTTCAAATTTAACTTTTCAAGATTGATACCAGATATTTCCATTTACAGTAAACTGGAAATAAGATTTTCAAGTTCAAATTTCACAATGAACTTTGACAAACTAGACAGATGTGTCTTATCAGTTAAAACACTTAAGCTAAATTTCCAGAAAACTCCCTCCCTCCCATTTAATAACAGCGACCTAATAGAACAAAAGTTGGGTGACCGTATCTCTCAACTCTCAAATTCTCCAATTTAATTCTCAGTTTCTCAAAAAAGAAGAAACAAGTCAAAGAAAGTATACTTGAAAATAAGGCAGAACATTTTAAACTGAAAATCTTCCAGGAAATCTAGATCATAGGTACACAATACTTTCACATAAAGACTTTTTCCCTATAGGCATGTTTTTCCTGTAATCTGTTATATACGAAAGATCAACTGTGTGTGTGTGTGTGTGTATGTGTACATATATGACACACATATATATATATATATATAAAACTTTTACGTATACATAAATGAAGATGATCCAACACTGTATCCTAGTCTCACTCAATGTATAGACCGACCTGGCTGCAAGTTCCAATTTGGCACAAACACTGGCCAGCAGAAATGAACCTCCCAATTACGTAACGACCTTATTAGAGACACACCTCATTCACACCATGTAATGTAAAAAATCCGGAAAGAAAAAGAAGCCTTCACCTTCCACTAAATTATTGAAACGACTTACAATTCTAGAGCCTTAAAAGTTATGTAGAGATCACCTAGCCAATCTTGTCCTTTTACCAAAATACGAAGCGCTAAAGAAGTTAAGTCACTAACACAGAACTAGTTCTGTGACAGTGAGATGCGATCCTCCTCTCCTGACTCCAGGTCAAGGCTCTTTCTCGTACATCAAAGTTCCACAAAATGTGTCAAAGTCTTCACCACAAAAGTATCTTGTATGTTGAAATAAATGATCTTTAATGAACAAGCGTATTCATTTCATTCTTACCTCAGACTCTTCTGACAGGGAAAAAAAAAAAAAAAAGCTGGTAACTAAAGCTGAAGCCGATAACTAAAGTCGATCGTTAAGCCTCAAAAGAAGGAAAATCAACAGCAAAAGTATATCCCCTGGTACCCTAACGTAACAACACAGCACCGGTAATAGTAAGTGCTTTGTAATTGCTTAGAAGCAACAGTTATGCTGCCAATATTCAACCTAAAGCTCACCGCCTCTTAAGTCTTCACCAGTAATCAAGCCATTACAGCAATCACCGCAGTCAAATCAGCATTTCCGTACTAGGGAGATTCACAGCTGTGTCCCCACTCAGACTGTAAGACCTTTGTAAGGAGGAATCCTGCCTCACACACAGCCCCCTCAAGGGGGAAAAGGAAAAAAGGCACCCGTCTATCCTGCACATACGAACTCCACAAACATGCCTCTGCCTCTCCCGACATCCCTGGAAAGTGGCGGCAGTGGAAGTCTTTCCTGAGCGAGATCCGTGGCTCTTCATCCGCGGCCACCTTCCTCCCTCTGCACTTGGGCCAATCAGCAAACCTGTCTCGAGTTCCTTCTACGACGCGCGCTCGTAAAAGGGCTCCAGGCTGCACGGAAATGGTGGAGGAAGCAACCTGAGCACGACCGCATACGTGTAAGACATTCCTCGCAGAACGCTGTCCTCCTAAAGGGCACTTCGGCTGTTAAGATCCACGAATGCTGAGGGAGCGCGCCAGGGCCGGAAAAGGACGCTCGACCCCAGAATCCAGAAGCCGCTCCTCCCAGGGGACAGGCAGGCCGCGCTGCAGGCTGGACCCGCTACAGGTCTGCGCTCCCCGCGGAGCACCTGCGGCCGCTCGGCAAAGCGGCGGCGTCTTCGTTGGCAACGGCGGCCCGGAACCTGCAGAGGCTCGGGGCTCCCGGGGCCACCCACAGGCGCAGGCACCTCGGCACCGGCGCCGGAGCCCTGTGCCCGAGTTGGCCGACCCGGTACGCGGAGGGCCGGAGGGCCCCAAGGTCTTCCTTCCTGATCCTTGAGCTCCTGCGAGTGCCTGAAACAACTGGGAAACGGGCTGCAGGGGCCGCGCCGTGAGCCGCGATTTTCTTTCCCTTGGGGCCTTTTCAGTCGTGGGATGGGACACGCTACAGAGTGCGAGGCGGGTCGCTGCGCGCCCCACAACGCCCAGCCCAGCCGAAGCACGGAGGCCACTCATTCGGGCTCAAAGTCCTGCGGGGTCGGGCGACGCGCCCTCGTGGGCAGGAGCCCCCCCACCCCACCCCACCCCACCCCACCCCCGACGGCGCGGAGCGGGTGCGCCCCGGGCCCTTCCGCCTCCGCCGCGCCTCCGCGCCGCACATCCCCCACGGCGGCCACTTCCGTGTTTACACTCCTCTTCCCTCCAATTCCAGGCGTGCATTGTCAGCCTCGCTCCCGCCCCGCCGCCATTGGCCGGCGAGCGCCCGGGCCCGCCCCCCGCGGCCAGCGTTCTCGCCTGGAACCTGTCGGCGAGCAGATTGGGACCCGCGGCCCGTCAATCGGCGCCGGGCCGGCCTCTGCGCGGCGCTTCCGCTGCGGTGGGAGGCCTGGGGGAGGGGAGCGCAGGGGAGCGCAGGGGAGCGCGGGCCGCGCGGGGCCGCGCGGGGCCGCTCGGGGCCGCTCGGCGCCCGGGCTCCCCGCGCCGCCCGCGCCGCCCGCGCCGCCGCCCGCGCCCCCGTGCGCCCCAGTAAACGTGCCGCCCCGCGCCGCCGTCCGCGTCCTCCCCCGGGACCGCCGCCCCCGAGGGCCGGGCAGCAGCCCGCGGGCGGGGACGGGGCACGGGGCAGGGGCACGGGGCAGGGGCGGGAGGCGGGCCCCGAGGCACCCCCGGCTCCCCGGGGGGGACCGTTACCCCGGGCCCCGCGGCAGCCCCGGCCGGGCGGGCGGGCGGGCGGGCGGCGGCGGCGGAGGCGGCGGACAGCGTGGCAGGCGCCGCGGCGGACAACGGGCTCGCTCACTTCCTGGTTGCCGGCGCCGGGCTCCAGCGCTCGCGCCGCGCGCCCCGGGCCCCGAGTCGGCTGCGGCGGGTCCCGGCCGCCGCCCGCCGAGCGCAGCCCGCGGCGACAGCGCCCCTCCGGCCGCAGGCGCCCCCGCGGCGCTCACTTCCTGATCCGCCGCCTCCATGGCCGCGCTCGCCGCCCCCTCCCCGGCCGCCCCGTGACGGCGCCCGCCGCCGACCCCGGCCCCCCCGGCCCCCCCGGCCCCTCCGGCCCCCGCCCCCGCCCCCCGCCGGCCGCCGCGGCGCGCGGGGCGCACTTCGCGCGTCCCTACCGGCGCGGATGAGCAGATCCAGCTGGTTCGCGGGCCCCTCCTGCAGCGACGTCGCCATGTTTACCCCGGGGCTGGAGCTGCCGCCTCACATTGGCTTCACCGCGAGCCGCGGCGGCGGGGGAGGAGGCGGAACCCGCGGCCGGGCCACGCCGTGCGCCCCACACACTCACGCACTCGCACACACTCGCACGCCCGGATCCTTGCGCGCCGACAGGAAGCCGCGGCCGGCCCGCCTCCCGCCTCCCGCCTCCCGCCCGCCGCCGCCGCCCGCCTCCCGCCCGCCTCCCTCCCGCCTCCCGCCGCGGGGCTCAGCGGCCCCAGCACCAACGGCAGGGGCGGCGGCGGCGGCGGCGGCGGCGGCGGCGGGCGGGCGGGCGGCGCGATCCTTCCGCCCCGCGCCCACACAGGAAGTCCCGACGCCCGCTCGCTCGCCCGCCCGCCCGCCCGCCCGCCGCCGCCGCCCCGGCCGCACGCACCTGAGGCGGACGCCGGCCCGGCCCGGCCCGCGGGGGAAGCGGCGGCGGCGGCGGCGGAGGAGGACGAGGAGGAGGACGACGACGACGACGAGGCCCGTGCCCGGAAGAGCCCCGGCACCTCGGCCCGCGGCGGCGCGGCAGGTGACCCCCGCGGAGCGGCGGCGGACGAGGAGGATGAGGAGGCAGACGGCGGCGACGACGAGCCCGCCACCCAGGGGCCGCCCCGCGGGAAGCCTCACTGAAGCGACCCCGAGGGGCCGAAGCCCCCGCCGCCCGGGGCTCGCGCGCGCGGGCCGCCCCGCAGCGCCGTCCGCACCGTGAGTCGCCGGGAGTCCCCGGGACCCCCCGCCCCGCGCCTCGCTCCCCCGGGCCCCGGCCCCGGCGCCGCGCCCCCCGCCGCGCCCCCCGCCCCGCCCCGCCCGCAGCGGCCGGGAGCTCCCTGCCCCGCTCCACGCAGCACCTTAACGGGGGCGGGGGGGGGCGGGGAGGGGGGGAGGGGGGGCGGGGACACCGGGGACACCGGGGAGCCCTGGCCGGCGCTCACACCTCTCACCAAAACTGACCCGAAACCGGAATCTCCACCGTCAGGCAGGAGCTTTTCGCTCCCTTACAAAGGAAGAGCAGCTCATCTTTTCCGGAGGCAACAGGTAACGTGGCCCAAGAAGGAACACGCAGCGCGCGACTCGATGTGCAGCCTGATGCGGAACTTCCACCTCGCAACTGGCCTCTTGAGACAGATCCTGACAGGTCCGTGGTACGTGAGAATCTGACTCTTCCACACGCTGATCCCACGTATTCCCCCGCCTTGCCCTCTGAGCGCCAGAAGAGGAGCCGCACCGTGTACGGGCGTGGGACCATGGCTTCAGAAAGGCCGAGGACATCCCTGTGAGTGTGCAGCTCTTGCAAGAACACCGCTCCCTGGGCTCTGTGCGGCCCTGCCTTGCTACCGAGACCAGGCTTCCAAGAGCCGCCGGCACTTCCGAGAAACCAAAAACACCGCATTGGAAACAGCGAGTAAGGAAGGGGCGGCGGCGGCGGCGGCGGGCGGCGGCGGCGGCTGGAGGTATGGCCCGGTACAGACTTCCGGGAAAGCAGCCTGCACTATACATCCAGAACCTGAAAGGTTCACACACTGACCCCAGGAGTGTCATTTCCTGGACCTTGCCTGAGGAAGTAAGACACTCAATGGACCTTGCCTGAGGAAGTAAGACACTCAATGGGTTGTTCCCTTAAAAAGAGTTTGAAGAATCTTTAACAGCACAGTAAGATAGTAAAAATACACACGTGCCAAGTTTTGGATATGTATTTCTACCACCACCATGATTCAAACTCTGTAGGACATGTGAACAGGTGTACGTAATATACTGTATGCACGTGTGCACACTCCTCTGCATTTCTCAAGTCTTCAAGAGTAAGCAGGCGTTAATAAGCAGAATAAAAAACTGAGTAAGGATAGCTTATCATGGTAGACACTTGACAGAAATTCACACTCTACTAATGACATTACACAAAGGTCTCTCCTACATCAAAATCCCAGCTATGTCCTACGAGGGCAAAAAATAAATAAATAGCTACCTCTTCCTGAAACAAAAGCCGCTATGCGGCATGCTTTACCTTCACTTTTTTCACATGGTCCTCTCCATGTTCCTGTGAAATACATATTACCGTTGTCCTCATTTTACACATGTGCAATCTAAGGTTCCTTGACTGAGGTCATACAGTTCATGGAAGGCTGGTCCAGGATCTGAACTCAAGTACTAACTCCAGAGCCCTCAACCTCAAACACCACTGAAGCACCAAAGCAACAAGACCTTTCTATTAATTATAATGCATTTAGTACCTGTCCATTTTCTCATCTGAAAATTATTTTTTTTCTTTTTTTCTTTTTTTTTTGTAGAGAGTGAGCAAGCAGGGCAAGGGCAGGAGGAGAGGGAGAGAGAAAATTTGAAGCAGGCTCCACGCTCGATGTGGAGCTCAACATGGGCCTCGATCTCACAATCCTGAGATCGTAACCTGAGTCGAAATTGAGAGACATGCTTAACCGACTGAGCCACCAAGGCATCCCTGAAAATTCTTTTATATTCCTTCCTTCAAGACATAGAACCTGGGATCCCTGGGTGGCGCAGCGGTTTAGCGCCTGCCTTTGGCCCAGGGCGCGATCCTGGAGACCCGGGATCGAATCCCACGTCGGGCTCCCGGTGCATGGAGCCTGCTTCTCCCTCTGCCTGTGTCTCTGCCTCTCTCTCTCTCTCTCTCTCTCTCTCTCTCTCTCTCTCTCTCTCTCTGTGTGTGTGTGACTATCATAAAAAAAAAAAAAAGACATAGAACCTAATGCCCTTCTCCCTTTGAGTGTGGGCTGGCCTTAATGACTCACTTCTAACCAACAGTATAAAGCTGAAGTGATGGTGTGCGGCTTCAGAAACAGTCCACTTGATCCCTTCCTTTCAGGTCACTCTACGAGAAAGCCAACTGCCATGTCTTGAGTACACTCAGGTAACTGTGGAGAGGCCCTTTAGGCAAGAAACAACGGTATTTTGCCGACAGCCTTACATCTGAGCTAATTTGAAGACCGGCCCGTCAGCCCTAACTAAGCTTTCAGAGGACTGCAGCCTCAGGAAACACCCTGAGCTACAGCCAGCAAGTAAGCTACTCCCCAATCCTTAACCATAAAAACTACCATAAATGGCTGCTGCTTTAAGCTGCTAATTTGGGGTAATTTGTTAGCAAAGGAAAATTAATACAGAAGGAAGGCATTTAAACTCTTGTTACATTTCACAGCTTAGGCTTTTAAAAAAGAGTAAAGTTTATAAATAACTTTAACTTTTAACTACAGAATCCTGAGCAGTTCTTCCCATTTCTTAATTCTTTATAGTCTGGGCATCAACTCTTTTTATTTTTTTATTATTTTTTTTTAATGATAGTCACAGAGAGAGAGAGAGAGAGGCAGAGACACAGGCAGAGGGAGAAGCAGGCTCCACGCACCGGGAGCCCGACGTGGGATTCGATCCCGGGTCTCCAGGATCGCGCCCTGGGCCAAAGGCAGGCGCCAAACCGCTGCACCACCCAGGGATCCCTGGGCATCAACTCTTAACCTCCAACCTCTCCATTTTAAAAATAAGTCTTTATAATATAATCATTATCATTACAATCTAATATAACAAAAAAAATAGATTCCTTTGGCTTTTTGATTTTACTGTCCCATAGTAACCAAAATGGAAGACATTCTTGAGAGAGATATAAATATATAATTGTTACCAGTACCATATAAGTTCCAGATGTTTTTATTTTTAGATTACCTTGATGATTTCATTTGTGCTTTGCATTTAACTAGTATAAAGAATCATAAAATGTTACAGATTGAAAAAATCCTAGAGAAACATCACCTAGAGGTTTTCAAAAAATAAAGAACCTGAATATCATGATCTCTCTTCCTCACTACCATAAGTTAGATACATTACATTTTAAAAACCAAATATATGATTAATGTGCTCTATTAGATACTAATAAAAACAAAAGGCACAGACTTTAAAGTTTAAAAAGAATTATGGGTTGGAATCTAAGGGAGTAGACATTCCATGCATTAATGTTATCTTCCTACAATTCGGAAGAAGGATGCCAATTTCCTGTGTTAGTAATAACAACTCTCTAACAATGAGAAAGTTATTTAAGAATCACCAATTTAGGGCAGTCAGGGGTGGCTCAGCGGTTTAGCGCCTGCCTTTGGCCTGGGGCATGATCCTGGAGACCTGGGATCAAGTCCCACATCAGGCTTCCTGCAGGGAGCCTGCTTCTCCCTCTGCCTGTGTCTGCCAGGAAAAACTGAGGGCCCAAGAAATTAAATAATTTGATCAGTCATGTATTAGCTTAGGATTTCAAGGTCAAAAATTCTAAAGAGCAATCTTCTATAAAATTTAGAAATTAAAAAACAGATGAAAAGGGTTTTTTTTAAGATTTTATTTATTTAGGGACGCCTGGGTGGCTCAGCGGTTAAGCATCTGCCTTTGGCTCAGAAGGTGATCTTGGAGTCCCGGATCGAGTCCCACATCGGGCTCCCTGCATGGAGTCTGCTTCGCCCTCTGCCTCTGTCTCTGCCTCTCTCTGTGTGTCTCTCATGAATAAATAAAATCCTTAAAAAAAAAAAAGATTTTATTTATTTATTCATGAGTGAGACAGAGGCAGAGGGGAAGCAGGCTCCCTGCGGGGGGGTGGGGGGCGGGGGGGGGGGGTGGACTCTATCCAAGACCGCAGGATCGCCACCTGAGTCGAAGCCAGACGCTCAACCACTGAGGCACCCAGGTGCCCCAAAATAGATTAAAAGTTAAATCCCTTTTACTGCTACTGTATTTATGAACTATAAGTTGCAAAATGATTGAAGTTTTGCTTTTTAATGTCAAAAGTTAAAGCAACGGTTAATGTCTTTCTGACAAATTGAGAAAAAAAATGAAAAAAAATTTTAAGCAGTGAATGGTAGGAGAGTAAGAAGAGGCCAGATGGTCTAAGCTTCCTGATACAACTGAATTACTAACAAAATTTAAAGCTGGGATATGATGTGTTGGCCATGTTTAGGAGAAAAAAAGTCAAGAAAACTACGCTATAAGAAAAATATGCTTATCCAGGACAAACTGGAAATCAAGTGATTTAGGACCACTCAGCAAAGCTTAATTCATCAGCCTTGACAACTGATGTAGTACAGTCTACAGATTTACAGAGAAAAAAATGAATTATTTCACATTTTATACTATTATCTATTTGCAGTTTTTTATACTGATTTACTTAATAGTTTTTATAAAGTATTATTAAAATGAAGGTGTTTGAACCCATAATCGCATATTCATCCATTTATTCAACAAGTAATTATCTAGCACTTGCTTTGAGCAAGTTTCTGTCCTAGGCATCTATTATTACACCTGGTAGCACTAAGTTATATAACAAAAGAAAAAAATTAAGCCTTCCTAATTCACACAGACCTCCCACTAAGGGTCGAATCCTTAAAGACAGTATGATACATGAAATTGATTATACATGAAATTAGAGAAATAGTATATACTACATTTGGACTATGACCCTGGAAAGTTAAAGTATTTATATGTAAAAAAAGCCTTTATAAAGGATAGATTTTTAATGAGGGGTTCACAAAGCCAACGTTTTGTTAGTACAATGAGCATTTTTCTAAAGAGAAGGCCATGGCTTGTTTTAGATTCTCAAAGAGATCCATGATTACTAAAAGTTATTTTATCATAAGCTACCTTGCCATATGCATTTATGGACTACAAACACTCTACACTGAGTAAAGATTCATTATGTACCATTTTTAAGATGGATAGTTTGGGGGCACTTGGGTGGCTCAGTCCAGTTCCTGGTTTCAGCTCAGGTCATGATCTCCCGGCAGTGAGATGGAGCCACAAGTGGGGCTCTGCACTCAGCGCAGCACAGAGTCTGCTCCAGATTCTCTGTCCCTGCCCCCTCATGTTCTACCTCTCTTTCTAAAATAAATAAATAAAAGCCTTAAGAAAAAAACCTGATGGTTTGGTTTAGATTCACGTCTTCTGCATTTAACTTATTAAGTTATCCTGGGCGAGACCCTCCTTGAGCTTGTTGACTCTTCACTCTATGGTTTACGCTAGGTAGACACACTGCTTCTGATTCTTAGCAGCCACTCCTAGAAGACTGATATTGTAGCTAGTCTTTTCTAACAGATATTAGACAAACGGCTCTTTCCAAATAGCATTTATTAAGCACCCATATGTACAAGACCTCCTGCAAAATGAGTTTAAATAATTGATCTCTATATTTAGGTAACATTTATGACAAGTGATTTCAAGGGCTTGGGTTTGTTATCATTAGAGAATATGGAGTATCTTGAATACTCTGGAAATTTTTTTCAATTCCTGTGAAACTGTGTAAGAGCTAACACATTCTCATTTAGCATGTTCATGAAAAAAATTTATAATGGAGTTAAATACTATAACCAAATACTATTTTGGTTGATTCCTAAAGGAATATTCAGAACAACTAATTTCTTCACTCTTACAAGAGAGCTTCTGCATTCTACCCACCCAAAAGTTCCTCTGAGGTCATCACTGAGCTTTGAATTGCTAAATCCATCTATCTCCACTTAGTCTTCACCTGACTCTACTTCTCTGAACAAGTGACATTATTAATCACTGCTACTGAAAACCTTTCCTTCATTTAATTTTCATGAGAATAAACTGTCCGCCTTTGTTTTGTTTTGTTTTGTTTCCTATTTCAGTTGATTTCATCCACTTTCGCACAACCCTTAAATGTGGTTTTCTCCCAAAGTGGGATCCTTAACCACCTTCTCTCTTCATCCTTCACTCTCCCAAGAATTGTATTTATTGTCCAGTGACTGCCAGGGTTTTCAATATTATTTCTTTACTGATTCAAAAATCACTGACTCCAAGCTTGACTTATTTTTTTGGATCTAGGTTCTAATCTCCGATTATATAGCAAACATCTTTATTTGGCTAACCCACTGGTACTTAAAGGTCTTTTATCTACAAATCTCCTTTGTTTCTTCTATGAATAACATTACCATCATCCCAGGTTACAAATCTGAGTCACTTATGATCCTAGTTTAGGAACATGTCTACTATACAACTTTTGAGGAGGATTTAAAAGATACATGAAATTATAAAAAATAACGTAACAGTCACCTTCCCAACACCCAGAACCAACAACTGTTAACATTTTGTTATTTATGCCTAAAAATGTTTTATTCTCCCTAAGAAATAACACATTACAGGGGAAGATAGCATCTTTGAATACTACCACCCCCAGTTCTCATTCACCATCCCATCTCTCTGAAGAAACTACTATCATTAAGTTTTATCTCTAGTCCTCTAGTCTATTTTTTACACTTTTATGTTTTTGTGTACGTGTGTGTGTGTGTGTGTGTGAATCCCAGAGTAATATATATACTATTTTGCATGCTTTGGGTACATAAATGACAGTATTCTATATATGCCATGCTAAAATTTTCTTTCTTTCCATTCAAGATTTACATTCTATCCATGTTGGTATAAATAAATATAGCTATGCTTTTTAGATGCTACACATTATTCCACTGCATGAGTTTATCCCACTTTATTCATCAAACTATCTACTGGTCAGCAAATAAATTTATTTCCACTTTGAACTTTTATGAACAATGCTGCAAAAAACTCCTCCGTGTTTCCTTAAACATGCATGCTAGATTGTCTCCACAGTATATAATATAAATTTTTATATACAAATAGAATTTTTACATAATAGAGTAAGTGCATTTTTAATTTTATGTCACTCACACAAAGTAGCTGTGAAAGCCTAAAATTCCACATGATGTTTTAAGAGTATCCACTTCTCTCAAATTCTTGTCAATATAAAATATAATCAGACTTTAAAATTTTTTCCATCTGTTGGCTGACAAAAAAACTGTTGTATTAATTTGCATGTACTTAAGTACTGAGGTTACTTTTTCACGTACTTATTGGCTATTAATACTTCCCTTTAAACTGCCTAGTCACATGCTTTGTCATTTTTCTGTGATACTTTTTGTCTTATTGATCTATAGAATGCTAACATATTCTAGATGATAATTCAGATATGTGTTGCAAATACCTTCTGCCAAACTGCTGTTTGACTTTTAATTTGGTTGGTCTATAGTATCCTTTGTCCTACAAAAATTTAGACTTTGATGCAGTCAAATTAATACACATTTTACCTTCCAATGTATGTTAAATAGTCCCTGGAATAAAAAGGAAATCATAAAGAAACTAAGAAATATGTAGAAATGAATTATTAAAATATAGTATGTCAAATAGGTGTGACACAACAGAGAACTCAGAGGTCAGGAGACGAAAAGGTCTTAAATAAGCTAAGCATTTGATTCATAAAGATGGACAAATCAACAGAACAAAACCAAAGAAATAGAAGGAAAGAAATAATAAAGAATAGGAAAAATGAATAGAAAACAATAATTGTTTTTAGAGAGGGTGCAGGAAGGGGCAGATGGAGAGAGAGAGATGATTTTAAGCAGGCTCCATACCCGGCACAGAACCCAATGGGAGCTTGATCGCATAACCCTGAGATCATGAAGAGTCAGATGCTTAAGGAACCAAGTCACCCAGGTGTCCCGAGAACAGTGATTTTTAAAAATAGTACAGATTCACAAAAATCAAAAGATGATTCTGAAAAGATTAATAAAACAGACCTCGGCAAGAATTATCAAAAACAAAGCGCAAATATAAAGCTAAAGGGGGAGAAATAACCACAGAGATGATACATATAAAAAATAAGTATTATGAACAATTATATGTTAAGTTTAAATGTGGATGACTTGTATAAACTGTGTAAATTACATAAAGAAGAAAATAAGTACTAAGTAGTAAAGAAGTTAAAATGTAGTCCAAAACCTCCTTTCCATATTACTTATGAAAGGTCCTAAACTTAAAGGAAAACAAAGCAAAATGATGAGCAACATGTATCTTTAAATGCAAGGAGAGTTCAACATCTGAGAATCGAAAAATTAACTGGCCCCATTAATAGATTTAAAGGAGAAAAATTATGATCTACCCAAAAAATGCAGAAAAACCATCTTTAACACAAAACCAAAACCAAAGGCATAGAGGGGAATTCCCTATACGCTAAGACCTACAACAAACATTAAACTTCAAGTTGAAATTTGAAATACAATACAAGATCAGGAACAAAATAGTGATGCCAATTATTATCACCACTCCTCATCATATTGACCAACATTGTAAGAAAAAGATGTAAGATTACTGGAAAGAAGAGAGGAGGGCTCAGTTGTACCAGCTGAAGCCCTCCTAGACTGGTGAGCTCCCAACTGATGCACAGATGACCACTGATAGGGAAATCAGCGCAGCTCATCTCAGCAGAACCAAATGGCTAATCCACAGTCTCAGGAAAACCAAGAACTAGTTCTCATTTTAAACCAATAAACTTTAGGGGGGGTGGTGGTTGTTAGGCAACAATAGCTGACACAAGTAAGGAGTTATGGGTATCCATTACTGGGCGACTACAAAAATAAAATGTGATGGGTATCTACAGTGGAGTATTGTGCAGCAATAAGCAGCAACACATTAGATACATACAAAGCAACATGCATGG